TGGTCGACCTCTGGCTCTGCTTCCATTGTGTCTGTGTGAAAGGACTCTGTGGTGGACTGTCTGGTGGTAGTCTTGAAACATGTCCAAATTATTTCATCTTACATGAGTTAAAAGTTATTTGCGTATCCTTTATAAGACGTTGCAGAACCAACCCCAGCATATAATGGCCATGCGTGATTTTTCTAGAAAATTTTACGTTGAGTAGTTTGCCACTGCTCTCAGAGCGGTTGGCTGTCGATATCTCTGTCAAGAACAATGCAAGAGGTCTGATAAGGAAAACCAGCTGCAGCTGGTTTTCCTTAAGTCTCGTCCATTCTCTTACATTCGAGTGTCCATGGTAATGAGCAGTCTGATGGATTAGCTGCTGTCCCCCTCTGTATGGTGAGCTACTTTATGATAAACAGTGGGGCGTGGTGAAGGCTCACTGCGTTCAAGTAAACAGGGCAACAGAACAAACAGGGCAACAGAAACAACAGGGCAACTGAAACAACAGGGCAACAGAAACAACAGGGCAACAGAAACAACAGGGCAACAGAAACAACAGGGCAACAGAAACAACAGGGCAACAGACACTACAGGACAACTGAACAAAGAGGGCAACTGAACAAAGAGGGCAACTGAACAAAGAAGGCAACTGAACAAAGAGGGCAACAGAACAAAGAGGGCAATAGAACAAAGAGGGCAACAGAAACAACAGGGCAACAGAACAAAGAGGGCAACAGAACAAAGAGGGCAACAGAACAAAGAGGGCAACTGAACAAAGAGGGCAACTGAACAAAGAGGTTAACAGAGCAAAGAGGGCAACAGAGCAAACAGGGCAACAGAACAAAGAGGGCAACAGAACAAACATGGCAACAGAACAAACATGGCAACAGAACAAACAGGGCAACAGAACAAACAGGGCAACAGAACAAACAGGGCAACAGAACAAACAGGGCAACAGAACAAAGAGGGCAACAGAACAAAGAGGGCAACAGAACAAAGAGGGCAACAGAACAAAGAGGGCAACAGAACAAACAGGACAGCCAAACAACCAGGACAGCCGAACAACCAGGACAGCCGAACAACCAGGGCAACAGAACAACCAGGGCAACAGAACAACCAGGGCAACAGAACAAACAGGGCAACAGAACAACCAGGGCAACAGAACAACCAGGGCAACAGAACAAACAGGGCAACAGAACAAACAGGGCAACAGAACAAACAGGGCAACAGAACAAACAGGGCAACAGAACAAACAGGGCAACGGAACAAACAGGGCAACGGAACAAACAGGGCAACGGAACAAACAGGGCAACGGAAAAAACAGGGCAACGGAACAAACAGGGCAACAAAACAAACAGGGCAACAGAACAAACAGGGCAACAGAACAAACAGGGCAACAGAACAAACAGGGCAACAGAACAAACAGGGCAACAGAACAACCAGGGCAACAGAACAACCAGGGCAACAGAACAACCAGGGCAACAGAACAACCAGGGCAACAAAACAAACAGGGCAACAAAACAAACAGGGCAACAAAACAAACAGGGCAACAAAACAAACAGGGCAACGGAACAAACAGGGCAACGGAACAAACAGGGCAACGGAACAAACAGGGCAACGGAACAAACAGGGCAACGGAACAAACAGGGCAACGGAACAAACAGGGCAACGGAACAAACAGGGCAACGGAACAAACAGGGCAACGGAACAAACAGGGCAACGGAACAAACAGGGCAACAGAACAAACAGGGCAACGGAACAAACAGGGCAACGGAACAAACAGGGCAACAGAAAAAACAGGACAACGGAACAAACAGGGCAACGGAACAAACAGGGCAACAGAAAAAACAGGGCAACGGAACAAACAGGGCAACGGAACAAACAGAGCAACAGAACAAACAGGGCAACAGAGCAACTGAACAAACAGATCAACAGAACAAACAGATCAACAGAACAAACAGATCAACAGAACAAACAGATCAACAGAACAAACAGAGCAACAGAACAAACAGGGCAACAGAGCAAACAGAGCAACAGGACAAACAGGGCATCAGAACAACAGGGCATCAGAACAACAGGGCAACAGAGCAACAGAACAAACAGATCAACAGAACAAACAAATCAAACAGAACAAACAGAGCAAACAGGGCAACAGAGCAAACAGGGCAACAGAGCAAACAGGGCAACAGAGCAAACAGGGCAACAGAGCAAACAGGGCAACAGAGCAAACAGAGCAACAGAACAAACAGGGCAACAGAACAAACAGGGCAACAGAAAATACAGGGCAACAGAACAAACAGAACAACAGAACAAACAGGGCAGCTATATCTGGAGAGAATGATTTATCCTGTAGTGAGCAGAGAGTGGACAATTTTTTACTTAGAGGGGGAGACAAGGCGAATCAATGAGGCTGAAACTGGCAACACCAGAACGGGCACACTTCATTGTCAACAGAAGAAGTTAAATACTAACACAAAATTTTTCAACCTCAACTCCTTCCTCAAAGTATTTTTGTTACGAGTAATTCTCACAACATAAATTACCTGAAGTTTAAAACTCACTGGAAGAAGAAATAGCTAAATTATACCTGCTAGGTACTGAGGGAGTCGCGGTAGCGTGATCACTAGACGCTCGCCTACGTATCTGAAAATCGTGGGTTCAGGCCCTGATGGCGCTGTACTTTACCACACACAAAAAAGACTGGCTCCCAGGTCGACCAAGCCTTAAATGGGTACCCAGAAGTCATGGGAAGTAAAGGCGGCGGGCGTGATGTTGACCGCATTACCCACGAGTGCTGATTGGTCTATACAAATATTTGTCTAGCCCGATGTGCTAAATACGCCTGAGGACGTGGAGAAGGTTTTTTAGTTACTGTTAAATGTTGAATTAGGAATCGACATCACAACATTTGGGACACTTCCATAAGCGTTCTGTCCCCATCTTCAGCAGCAAGCCAAGAATTCCAATTCCGATAGCACCAGTAGCTGTTTGTATACCCGCTTCACCTTTCCTTTGAGTGTCGACCAGATCCCATGGCAACTCCTTGCAGCGTCATTCTCCACAAACGGTAATGATCTATTTGTGTCTCCACACTGTTCACTTGCTCCCAAACTGCTCTCCACTTGCTCCCAAACTGCTCTCACATCTAGCCTGTCATACATCAATTCACCACCAGAGTGGGACACAACCGGCCAGTCTAACTGCCTACTCATTACTGAGATAGTTAACGCTACACTGAAAGATACTCACCCAACTGCCATTCCTCACTCCTACTCTCCGGGTCAGTTTTTGTAATTATTGGATCCAATGCTAACCTGGCGTCTGATTGCAAATAAAGTATAAGTATTGGAAATGAGATAAATACCATATTTAAACGACACAAACAATGCATTTATTCTTCATATAGCCCATGCCGTGTGGCACTGCTAATCATCTCTATCCACAACCTTCTGTCTCGTGTACTTTCAATCAATTCTGACACAGATTATCTTTCATCCCATAAAGTCCAACTGTCTAGCATCTTCTTCCTGGATCTCCCGCTGTTTCTTTTTCCCCTTTAACTTTCCCATAGCCACGATGTACTCCAGGTTTCCCCTTCTCATGATATGCCAAAAGAAAGTACACCGTCTCCTTGGGATATGGGCATTCATTTTTTTTAAGAGTCCATTTCTTTCAAGACATCCATTTCACCCCCTTTTTTTTTTTTAAATATGTCCTGAAATGTTCTCACGATTCGTCTATAAAACCACATCTGCGCTCCTTCCAAATAATTGTCCACTAATCTGCTAACTGTCCATTATCCATTTCTGTATATTAGGATAAGACATAGCTCTTGAGAATTGCCTTTCTCACCTCAATTTACAAAGAAGGATTGCACAGAAAATTAATTAATGTGTTTACTTTTGATAAAATACCATGTCTAGGTTGCATAAATTGTACAGAGTCCGATAAGCACCTCATTTAATGCAGATTAACACAAATACACTGAAACTTCAGGTTTCAAAACTAATCGAACTAGAAGCTGCATAAACATTGTCTTAAAATTGCACATCATATACTTAATTTACATAGATAATTTTATATATACATATCTTGGTTACGAAAGATACATAAAACACATAAGTTAAACATACTTAGGTTATAACTGCATACTAAAAGTTACATGATTTACTTAAAGTTACACGCTATACTTAGTTACACGCTATAATTAAAGTTACACGCTATAATTAAAGTTACATGCTATAATTAAAGTTACATGCCTTTTCTGAAGTTACAAGCAATACGTATAGTTACATGCTATATCTGTTGTTAAAGCAATACTTAAAGTTAAATACTATATTTAATTTACAAACTATACTAAAAGTTTACTTAAAATATATTTTGTAACTTCTAATACACTATGTAAATTCTAATATAGCATGTAACGTCTAATATTTTAGGTAACTTAGTATAGTAACACTTTTGGTATAGTAACTTCTAAAACACTGTGTAACTTCTAATACACTATGTAACTTATACACTATGTAACTTCTAATATAGTATGTATCTTATAATATAGTAGATAATATACCAAAAGTTACATACTATATTAAAAGTTACATACTATACTAAAAATTACATACAGTCTAAAAATTACATAATATACTAAAAAGTTATATACTATGCTAAAAAATGCATACTGTACTGAAAGTTAAATACATCATATACTTCAAGTTACCTACTATATTGCGAGTGAACTTGAATCTCAATAGGAACGTACACTGAGCGATTAACACCCGATGACGCAAAATACATAGTGTAACTTTTTTAATGAGAATCCCCCCCCCCCCCCCCTTTTTTCCCCCTGTACAGACTCCAGAAACCGTGTTTAACCGTAAGAATATCTTTTTATGATACAAAACAAACGACATTTTTTACACCACAATTAAAATTCTGCATAATGTACAACTTAGTACTGCTCCCCCCTTTCCCCGACACCCCCAAGCAGAGTACCCGCCCATGTTTAGGAAACGTACCGTCATTTGACCTCGACGGATATGTGGCTATAAGATTGTAGATCTGGTTTATCTCGTTGTCTGGATCATTTTCTATCAGAGCCATGCGCACCTCTGCCTCGTCAAGACCTTTGTACTGGGGAGATAAAATCATATGAGAGAAAAGATAAACTACTATCTGTGGAGAAATATTGAACAGCATGAGAGGAAAGATTAACTGCTGTCTGTGGGGAAAGTTTGAATAGCATGACAGGAAAGATTAACTGCTGTTTGTGGTGAAAGATTGAATAGCACGAGAGGAAAGATTAACTGCTGTCTGTGGGAAGAGATTAAATAGCATGAGAGAAAAGATTAACTGCTGTCTGTGGGGATAGATGAATAGCACGAGAGGAAAGATTAACTGCTGTCAGTGGGAAAAGTTTGAATAGCACGAGAGGAAAGATTAACTGCTGTCTGTGGGAAAAGTTTAAATAGCACGAGAGGAAAGATTAACTGCTGTCTGTGGGGAAAGTTTGAATAGCACGAGAGGAAAGATTAACTGCTGTCTGTGTGGGAAGTTTAAATAGCACGAGAGGAAAGATTAACTGCTGTCTGTGGGGAAAGTTTAAATAGCACGAGAGGAAAGATTAACTGCTGTCTGTGGGGAAAGTTTAAATAGCACGAGAGGAAAGATTAACTGCTGTCTGTGGGGAAAGTTTGAATAGCACGAGAGGAAAGATTAACTGCTGTCTGTGGCGAAAGTTAAAAGAAAAAGAGCACGAGAGGAAAGACTGAACAACATGAGAGGAAAGACTGAACAACATGAGAGGAAAGACTGAACAACATGAGAGGAAAGACTGAACAACATGAGAGGAAAGACTGAACAACATGAGAGGAAAGACTGAACAACATGAGAGGAAAGACTGAACAACATGAGAGGAAAGACTGAACAACATGAGAGGAAAGACTGAACAACATGAGAGGAAAGACTGAACAACATGAGAGGAAAGACTGAACAACATGAGAGGAAAGACTGAACAACATGAGAGGAAAGCGTGCTTCTGTCTGTGGGCAGTGTTATATCATGCCAGGACAGAGAAACTCTGGGGGCAGTTTACATAGCATGCCAGGACAGAGAAACTCTGGGGGCAGTTTACATAGCATGCCAGGACAGAGAAACTCTGGGGGCAGTTAACATAGCATGCCAGGACAGAGAAACTCTGGGGGCAGTTTACATAGCATGCCAGGACAGAGAAACTCTGGGGGCAGTTTATATAGCATGCCAGGACAGAGAAACTCTGGGGGCAGTTTACATAGCATGCCAGGACAGAGAAACTCTGGGGGCAGTTTACATAGCATGCCAGGACAGAGAAACTCTGGGGGCAGTTTACATAGCATGTCTTTACGAGCAGCTAAAACAGGACGGAATGAAAAAATGTCTGTTAGGACAGTTAAAATAGCATGAGAGGATTACTAATTTTAGAATCGATATCATAGTTAGGTCTCCCACAGCAAATGTCTTTAGGTGTAGCTGCTAACTGTTCTCAAAGCACACTGATTATACACACGTCGTTCTCTTCCTCTCATACGTCCCTCCTTGCGGGATCCACTCCTAGTTCCTCCACACATTCTTGCACATGTTATTTCATCCAATCTCGTGTCCTCTATCAACCTTCGTTCATGTATGGTCTTCGGAATATCTCCCTTGTCCAGTACTACTGTTCCCGTAGCTATCGCTTTTGCAGCCAGAAAATCCACTCTTTCATTCCCTCGCACTCCTGTATATCCCAGACAGTATATCCACGTGATTCCATGCAATGTTGATGTACTGATGTTTGGTATCCAGTCACGCACCGCAACATTTTTCCATTTTGACACTTTCGCAGTACCGACTGAGAATCAGAGAAAATAATTTATCTGGTAACTTTCTTTTCTGCTATACACATCGGAGCTGCAGTGATTGCCTTCACCTTCATCTTCATGCTCGAAGTTGTAAGCAAATGAGCTCTTTTTGATCTGCCACAATCTTTCCCTTCATTCTAGCTGAAAATTCCCTGCCAGATCTTACACCCCGATGAACAGAACCATCGGTGTACATTACTGCATCATCTAGCCCAGAAAGTGTTCATCTATCAGTTGTTGTACCTCTAATTCTGCCATAACATTAGCCCACCCTCTACGTTCTCTTCCTAACGTGGTAACAACCTGGTGCAAGCACGAGAGGAAAGGTTAACTAATGTCTGTGAAGACAGTAATAACAGCATGAGAGGAAAGGATAACTAATATCTGTAAGGACAGTTAAAACAGCATGTGAGGAAAGGATAACTAATATCTGTAAGGACAGTTAAAACAGCATGAGAGGAAAGGATAACTAATATCTGTAAGGACAGTTAAAACAGCATGAGAGGAAAGGATAACTAATATCTGTAAGGACAGTTAAAACAGCATGAGAGGAAAGGATAACTATGTCTGAGGACAGATAAAAAAGCATCAGAGGAAAGGATAACTAATGTCTGAGGACAGATAAAACAGCATGAGAGGAAAATGATAACTAATATCTGTAAGGACAGTTAAAACAGCATGAGAGGAAAGAATAACTAATGTCTATGAGGACAGATAAAACAGCATGAGAGGAAAGGATAACTAAAATCTGTAAGGACAGTTAAAATAGCATGAGAGGAAAGGATAACTAAAGTATGTGATTACAGTTAAAACATCATGTAGGAAAGAATACTGGTTTTGGGACAGTTAAAACAATCACTTCATAGAGCTAACACAATCACTTCATACAGCTAACACTAATCACTTCATACAGCTAACACCTATCACTTCATAGAGCTAACACCTATCACTTCATAGAGCTAACACTAATCACTTCATAGAGCTAACACTAATCACTTCATAGAGCTAACACTAATCACTTCATAGAGCTAACACTAATCACTTCATAGAGCTAACACTATCACTTCATAGAGCTAACACTATCACTTCATAGAGCTAACACTATCACTTCATAGAGCTAACACTATCACTTCATAGAGCTAACACTATCACTTCATAGAGCTAACACTATCACTTCATAGAGCTAACACTATCACTTCATAGAGCTAACACTATCACTTCATAGAGCTAACACTATCACTTCATAGAGCTAACACAACCACTTCATAGAGCTAACACAACCACTTCATAGAGCTAACACAACCACTCCATAGAGCTAACACAACCACTCCATAGAGCTAACACAACCACTCCATAGAGCTAACACAACCACTCCATAGAGCTAACACAACCACTCCATAGAGCTAACACAACCACTCCATAGAGCTAACACAAATCACTCCATAGAGCTAACACTAATCACTCCATAGAGCTAACACAACCACTTCATAGAGCTAACACAACCACTTCATAGAGCTAACACAACCACTTCATAGAGCTAACAACCACTCCAAGAGCTAATACAACTACTCCATAGAGCTAACACAACTACTCCATAGAGCTAACACAATCACTCCATAGAGCTAACACAATCACTTCATAGAGCTAACACAGTCACTTCATAGAGCTAACACAGTCACTTCATAGAGCTAACACAATCACTTCATAGAGCTAACACAATCACTTCATAGAGCTAACACAATCACTTCAGAAACAATATATTAAAATCAGACATTACAATTACATTAAAAACAAAAAAAATTTTTCACATACAACAAATTTACTTCGCAGACAATGCAATTACATCAAATACAATATAAATGCATCACAGACAACATAATTACCTCAAAGAAAACAATCACATCACAAACAACATAATTACCTCACAGAAAACAATATAAATGCATCACAGACAACATAATTACCTCACAGAAATACAAAATACTTCAGAGAGAGAAATTACCTGACAGATTTTTTGGACAATGTCTGCTTTTATAACATAAGAATCCATTTCAGATGGTAATGGAAAGAATTCTTCTGGCAGATCTGTTGAAAACCAAACATTTGACCTGCAAGGAGACCAGAATAGCATTTATTCTCAAACTGTTCAAATTGACTCGCTGCAGTCCACGGTCGGTTTTCGAAACCGGGCGGCTCCCGGGGTTCACCCAGCCTCTAGAATATGGGTACCAGAGTGATACTCTGGTGTAAATGGAGGAACGTATCTAGAGAGAACCGGGACACAGGAGGACAATACCTATCAGATGTCCGTACTGTGGCAGAGCACTTATGGTTTATAACCGTGACGCTGGGTCACATCTCCCGACTTTACCTTTACCTTTAAAATGTGTTACGTGAAGGACCCTTGACCACATCTCCAGGATTATCGAACATATGTGCTATGCCTATATTATACAGGCAAATCGGCACTCGGTGGGTGACGTAGTCGGCCACACGTTGGCCGCCTTTACTTCCTAGGACTTTACCTGGTACACATTTTAGGTTGGGCCGAGCTGGGAGGCAAGGCCTTTTTTGAAAATAGTCCGGCTGCTTTCGGATTTGAACACACGACCTTCAGATCCACAGACGAGGTTACACCATAGCAGCTTCCACCAGAAAGAAGAGACTTCTATCATTTGTTATGTTATCACAATCGACGTCACCGCACATTAGGCCTTTCCATGCGTGCTCAGTCCTCGGATGCAGCAGCCACTCCAAGGTATTACTAATTGTGGCCATGAGAGATTGGTTATAATATCTCCTATCTCGGCCTTGAAGGAGGCATATACGTGCTTCACCATGCTTTACTCCCCTGTCAAGCAGTCGTGTTAGTGTCAGAGATTCATCATTATCCACTAACCTAGTCCGCACACGATGATATCTGCTCTGTCCATGCATCTCCCCACATGCGTTGGTTCACTGTTTGCCAGTGTATCCAACCTGTGGTGTTGGTAGGCAGGTATGCAATTCGTTTCCCTCCAGAGTTACTGTCCATAAGCCTAGTACTTTGAGTCACAAACAACGTATGATGCGTGAATCACTAGCCATCCCGTCGTGGGATGCAATTTTTACATACTAGATATCTCAAAGAAGGGAGCTATTTACATCACAAACTGATTACAATGTTAAACAGCGGGAACTAATTACATGACAAACAGATTAGATATCTCAAAGAAGGAAACTAATTACATCACAAACGGACTAGATATCTTGAAGGAAACTAATTACATCGCAAACTGATTACAATGTTAAACGGAGGGAACTAACTACGTGACAAACAGACTAGATATCTCAAAGAAAGAAACTAATATCACAAACTGATTAGATAGCTCAAAGAATGTCTAATTACGTCACAAAATGATTACAATGTTCAACTAATTACATAACAGACTAGATATCTTAAAGGAGCACATAACAAACAGACTAGATATCTCAAAGAAGGAAACTAAATTACATCTATAATCGCAAATGCTTCGCTTTAGGCGTTGGATATCCTGTTTCGTCCTTTTAAGGAAGAGATTTTTTGTTATTTGAAGCCCCACCCTGGCTTTTTATGCCATGGGCCGCAATATAGGCAGGCCATAAATATGGCCAATTGTCTGAACGCGGTTTCTGGGACCTCTCCACGGTGATCCTCATCCACATGGTGGCACTTTGTGTCATCGGGTGTTTATCGCTTGTGTGATGTCCTGGTGGGGTAGAAAGTCAGTCAGTCAGTCACTAATTACATCACAAAATGACTAAGTAGGTATCTCAAAAAAGGCAACTAAAATTAAATTACAAACGGACTACGGACTAAATATCTCATACAGATTTAACTGTCTACTGACAAAACATCGACTAGGCTGCTTCTAGATACTAAGCTGAGTGATTTTGTGTATTTGTGCGGTATTGTTTGATTTATGTTATGTGCTGATGAAGGCTCCATAGCGGTAACGCTCACGTTTGGTTTGTGTCTGTTATATTGTGAAGCAATATAGTAAAGTTCCCTTTTCAAGCCTTTCGGCGAATCGGGCATATGGGCAGAGCGTCCCATATTTTTACAGACCATCAGCACTCTGTGGGTATATATATATACTGTGTTATATTGTGCTAATAATCGGTATCGCGTCCCCGTGTGGGATGCAATTGTTAGTTATTTTGAAGCCCCACCCTGGCTTTTGCCGGGGGCCCTAAATACAACCAGGCCTTAAATATGGCCTAATGGCTGAACAGGGTTTTCGGGACCTCTCCACGGGTGATCCTCATCTGCATGGTGGCACTTTGTGTCACCGGGTGTTTATTGCTGTGTGATGTCCTGGTAGGGTACAACTTACCTAAGCTTGCTGATATACTTTTCGTTCTGTTGTATATCTTTTCTAGATATCTCAAATATATATTTTTAATCTAGCAACTCCAGCGACAGAGTCCGCAAGTCCCTTGAGAATAGCTTTATTTACACTTTGGGTACTTCAATACCCTCAGGACTGAATTGACAACAGTTTCATATAAACTCATAGGAGATGGAACTGCCCTCACGGTTTTATCTCCAACCCGCCCCCTCTCCCTCCAGTTATGGCCCCTATTACTCCACAGGGTGTATTTATTCCCCTAGCACACGAGCGTAGGCAGTCCGCTGAGAAACCATCGACCCGACTGCTTCGAGGTACAAGCTAAGTGATGTGTATTTGTGTGGTACTGTTTGGTTTGTGTGTGCTGATGAAGGCTCCATAGTCGCAACGTTCACATTTTGTTTGTATTTGTTATATTGTGAAGCTTGCTAATAAACTTTTCTTTTGGTTTTATATCTTTTCTAGATATCTCAAAGTAAGGAATCAATTACATCAGAAATTGACTAACTAGATAGCTCAAAGAAGGGAACTAATTGCATCAGAAACTGACTAACTAGACAGCTCAAAGAAGGGAACTATTGGCATCAGAAACTGACTAGACAGCTCAAAGAAGGGAACTACTTGCATCAGAAACTGACTAACTAGACAGCTCAAAGAAGGGAACTACTTGCATCAGAAACTGACTAACTAGACAGCTCAAAGAAGGGAACTAATTGCATCAGAAACTGACTAACTAGACAGCTCAAAGAAGGGAACTACTTGCATCAGAAACTGACTAACTAGACAGCTCAAAGAAGGGAACTAATTGCATCAGAAATTGACTAACTAGACAGCTCCTAGAAGGGAACTACTTGCATCAGAAACTGACTAACTAGACAGCTCAAAGAAGGGAACTATTGGCATCAGAAACTGACTGACTAGACAGCTCAAAGAAGGGAACTATTGCAACAAAAAATGACTAGATGTCACAAAGGGAAAGAAGACAGTAAAACCTTGCTGTCAGAAATTGAAAGGGTTTGTGTTAACAAAAATTTGTGCTAACCGAGAGCTAGTCATAATACATCCCTGATGGGACCGCCATTTTGTTAATGTTAATTATAAATACAATTTCGTCCTTTTTAGGACGACATTTTTTGTTATTTGAAGCCCCACCCTGGCTTTTGCCAGGGGCCGCAATATAGGCAGGCCATAAATATGGCCAATTGTCTGAACGCGGTTTCTGGGACCTCTCCACGGCGATCCTCATCCACATGATTGCACTTAGTGTCATCTGGTGTTTATCGCTTGTGTGATGTCCTAGTGGGGTAGAAAGTCAGTCAGTCAGTTAAAGTTAATGGAGTGTTCTTTGTTTACTGAGTTCAACTGCAGGCTTTACTAGAGCTGTATTTCTCATCCATTTATTTAACCCATCTACCAACAAACCAGCCATCCAACCAATCAGCCTTCCAGCTCATCAGCGATCCAGCCAATCAGCGATCCAGCCAATCAGCGATCCAGCCAATCAGCCATCCAGCCAACCAACCAGCCAGTCAATCAGTCATTCAATCCTTCCATCCACCCACCAATCCAATCACCAATTCACCCATTCATCCATCCACCCATCAAGTCAATCAACGAACTGATCGTTTACCAATAATTAAACTGTTGTACCTAATGTCTAAAATGGTGGCTCGCTCGTCAGGATTGGGTTCCAGCATATAAGCGAGGAGATTGTCCAGACTGTCCTCCAGAGGACGGGGCACAGTGAATCTACCGTCTGAAAAAGAAAAGTAAGAAAATTAAATGTTTTTGACAAGACCAAGTAGGCCTATCTCCTTTGTTTCTGACGCCAGCCGGACATACAACCTAGGTGTAAAGACTGACACAGACACACACATATTATATATGTATGTATAATTGATAATTTTACCTATCTAGGTTCCACAGGTAAACTATAGCTGGGCCAATAAAACAACATCAGGATAGGCAAGGCCGCAATAACAATGAGCAGATTTAACAAAAACAGTTTGGGGAACAGAAAGCTCAAGATAAAAACACTAGTCTATCAAGCTTGTCAGAACTCTGCTATATGGCTGTGAAAATTGGTCAACTTATTCACACTAGGAGAGACAGCTAAATAGATTTCACATGCGATGTCTAAGAAAAATTCTCGGCATTAAGTGGCAGGACAAGATTACAAACACTGAGGTATAGGAAAGAGCAGGTGTTACAAGGTCCGACAATTCAGTAATGAGACTGATTTTATTATGGGTAAGACAAAAATGCCATCTATGAATCACAGCATGGAATCCAAAGAGGCAACCTTTGCCTATGATCTGGCAACTTTTCATCGCCGCCCGATAAACAGACAACAAACAAGCCGCAATTTTGTTAACCTATTCAGAAGTGCATTGTTACCTTAGCATGGAGCAAAAAAACTAACATTAAATTTTGTTTTATGAGGTACTTTGGTCATGTTAAACGGCATGGAGGACTGGGAGAAAGGTGGTGTGTGGGTGGGGGGATGGAGGAGAGGTGAGCTGTGATGGAGGGTCACATTTTCGGAAAAAGAATCAGAGGCGGATCTCGGTGAAGCTGGTGGTAAATGACATGAAAGATGCCTCGGCTATGAAAGCACAGAAGACTGTAGAACTAGCTAGACAGACTTTCATGTATTCCACTACATCTAGTCCTAGTCCTAGTCCTTTTGAGAAAAAAATTTAAAGTTCGACCACTTTCAGACATTTTCTAGCTAGCCGAGGCTGCTAACAGTCTCCGCCTATATTTGAGGTCTGGGTTATTTGCGTCACTTTCGTGACTAAATTCTGGTATTTGCGCCATTTCTGGGCTTGATGCTTCCATCCGGTTCAGACCGCTCGTCCTCCACCCTGTTGTTACTTGTGCATCACTACAGCTGACTGACTTTCTACCCCACCAGGACATCACACAAGCGACAAACACCCAATGACACAATGTGCCACCATGTGGGTGAGGATCACCGTTGACAGGTCACAGAAACCGCGTTCAGCCTCTAGGCCACATTTATCGCCAGGCTATATTGCAGCCCCTGGCAAAAGCCAGAGTAGGGTTTCAAATTACGAAAACTTTCATCCTAAAAAGGATGGGAAGTCCTTTTTAGGATGCAATTTTTCATAATTTGAAGCCCTACTCTGGCTTTTACCAGGGACGCGTCACTACAGCTACGGAAATCTTACCTCTTATAGTGCTCTCGGCTGGCAGCCAGCTGCTGTTCAGGAGAAGGAGCCAAATTCTTAAAAAAACAAAATGGAATATGGCTGCCCGTCTCTTTTTAAATAATTATAAATGCAAAAATAATTACTTACACCTAGCATTCTGTCTTGTATCTCGCTCATTCATACCAAAAGGAAACTGAAAGAGACGAAATGGGAAAATAAATTACAGAATTCTGATTTCAGGTTTAAAAATCAGAACCAGCCTCAGCATGTGTTGGCTGTTTGGTGTTGCTAGTCTAGGCATTCAGTAGTTTGTTATTGTTCCCGAACACAAGGCGGTTTGCTGCTAAATCACCTGTAGCTGGAATCGAACCTAGTCTTCTGAATTACGAAGATTGTTCGTAACACCAAAGCCACAGGTGTCGACAGCTAATCTTCCAATGTTTGTCTTGTTGTTCACATTTACGGGCCGACCAGCCAAAACCGAGTACCAGGAAATGTCTTGGGAGATAAAATTGACCAGGATTATATTGCCCATATCACAATGTGGGCCTATTGGTCTATTAAAAAAATGAGTCTTAGCATAATATATTTGATGCACTAATTGTATTGGGAAAATGTTTGCAAAAACACTGAAATTGTGAGTTCTCACAGTACTAGAACCCCAGTTCAGTAAAAGACAATGCGCCTTGGTTTCGACAGCGGTATCAAGAAAGCCGACCGTCCATAAAGAAATAGCAAGCTACTGGACGTAAATTTGCCTAGAAAAACCACACAACAGCCAGGGGCTGTTGGGGTTGGTTCTGCAACGTCCTGTAAAGGATACACAACTAACCTTTAACCTTTTTTTTTTTTTTTAGCATCCAGAAGCCATGAGTTGTTAACCCTTAGGCTCGGTATTATGGATATCGCAGCCTTTCGGCCTTGATTCCATTGTTAATACCGTAAAACTGGGAGAAATGTGGCTTTTCTGCCTACCCCCGGGCGTGAACCCGGACCACAAGTAGTTCGTCACCCGGTCACCGCGCAATCTGGTTTAGCTAACTACGCTAGTGAGTCGGGCAAAAACTAACCTATAATGCTGTTAGGACGGATCTGGGGAGCAACAAAAAAAAGGGGAGGGGGAGAGGGGAATCTTTACAGTGCTTAAGGCATCAGAAGGCCTTTATCCGACCCTGCCCTTAATCAGTTCAGGCCAAGTGAACATTTCCTTTGCTATCGCATGCAGCTTACCCATTTTTAAATTTTGGTCTGCTTATGTTATGGTTTATTGTTGTTAACATTTTCAAATACACGCATATATAAATGTGGGTACCAGTGCCGTCATCTTAACACCCGCTGGGTACTTGTCCAAGGGCCACACGAGCGTAAGGACCTCATGTTAGGCTGTGCATGTCAAGTGACCATAGATCCCACGTTAATCAGTGTTTGTCAAGTGACCATAGATCCCATGTTAATCTGTGTATGTCAAGTGACCATAGATCCCATGTCAATCTGTATGTCAAGTGACCATAGATCCCCGTGCCAATCTGTGGATGTCAAGTGACCATAGATCCCATGCCAATCTGTATGTCAAGTGACCATAGATCCCATGCCAATCTGTGTATGTCAAGTGAACATGGATCCTATGCCAATCTGTATGTCAATTGTCAAGTGAACATGGATCCCATGCCAATCTGTGTATGTCAAATGATCATGGATCCTATGCCAATCTGTGTATGTCGAATGACCATGGATCCCATGCCACTCTGTGTATGTCAACTGACCATGGATCCCCTTGCTAATCTGTAATTCAACTGACCATGAAACCCATGCCAATCAGTGTATGTCAAGTGACAATGGATCCAGTGCCACTCTGTGTATGTCAACTGACCATGTATCCCATGCCAATCTATGTGTGTCTTAATTTGGTGGAATTAGTTTAGTTTTCTTCCCCCTAAAACCACCAAGTTCAAACAACAATAATAAACTTTTACCTTATTAAATAGCAAAATATACAGGATGACTCCGCAGCTCCAGATGTCCAACTCAGGCCCTATGTACCTCCTGACAAAACACAGCAATGTTAGAATTTCATGATATATTGCTTTCATGCTAGATACTGTGTCAAGGACTATCGTGACGCTTCTGAATATGTCCAAAATAAATAGATTCAATTCGGCTGGGAAAAGAAGACCTACATTTGATAGGCAGGTACACACTGTGAATCTTTTGGCAGTGAAATCTAAGTAATCACAGTTGCAATTTCATACCAAACGAGTCATCCCATAATTTCTCGGTTCCTGTGCCGGTGAAAACCACACAGAATGTCCATCCTCGTCCCTTGTGGCAAAACTGACACCACTGTTTTATAGTCAAAAGAAATATTGGGCACATTCACTATTTTTAGTCGTGGCAAGTTTTTGCTTGGGACAGACGGTGAACGTTACATTTTCCTCCATTTGAAGACTGAAGGAATATAGTGTGTTTTTTTCGTCCGGCTACTGAGTTGAGTTGAACACTGAATTCAAAATTGACATCACAGCACTCGGGACACTCCCATAAGCGCTCTGTCCCCATTTTCAGTAGCAAGCAAAGAGTTCCAATTCCAAGGGTACCAGAAACTGTCTGATTGTATATCATTCACACCCTTCCCTTGAGTGTTCAGCGTCGGCCAGATCCACTGGTAACTCCCCGCAGCGCCATTCTCCTCAGACTGAAATGATGTATTCGTACCTCTGCACTGTTCACTCTTTCCAAAAAGGTCCTCACAACATCTAGCTTGTCATACACCAATTCACCACCAATAGGCGCAGAACCAGCCAGTCTATTCGCCTGTTCATTTCCCAACACACAGGCACACCTGGAGAACATACCCACAGGACACTAACTACCCGCGACCTCTGAAGTGATCCTTGCCACTCTATACGGAGCATATCTGACTCCACTTTTCTTGAGGGGACTGTGTGGTCTCGAGGCATGGTGTCCGCCCCGAGTGACAGAGGTCCCAAGTTCAAGCCCTAGTAAAGTCTGGGATTTTTCACGTGGATTTCAAGTAATTTCCCCTGGTCTCTGGGGTGTTGCATGGAGCAACAGCTAGGTCTTTTAATTCTTGATTCCCAGGTGTAAAATCTAACATCGGTTGAAAATGTCCCTATATAAGTTCCTGGGCATCGCACGGCGGGGGGGGGGGGGGGGGGTAGAACTATGCTTGTTGTAACAAGGAAAGATCGACTTAGGGACGATATTAGGAGGAGAGTCGGCACAGAAACAGTACTGAACTTTATAGGTAGACAATAAATCAAATGGTTTGGCCATGTAACAAGATTGGCATCAGACAGGGCACTACAGAGAGCAATGTTATAAAGATGGAGCAGTAACTGAACCAGACAGAGGTCGACCACGCAGAAATGGACCTCAGAAATATCAGGGACATTAAAAAGCACTTTATACGAAGGGCCCGTTCTAGAGATCTCTTTCTGCCCTGACGCCATGAGGCATTCCAGGAGTAGAGAAAGAAAGAAGAAAAGAATCCAGGAAAGGCTAACCTGTGAACAAATGCCTGCAGATGTTGGATGTGTTCGCCGAAAGGCGCAAATATCACAGCAATGCTGTAAACTGGCACAACGCAGTCATCTTCAAATGAACGCAAAAAAAAAAGAATACAACCAGTGACCGACCTCCCTCAATAAGCATGTCCTATGAGACAAACTAATCAGGGGTGTTTTATTCAAAGTCGGGGTGCATCTGTTCGAGAGGTCAGAAACAAACTGTTTATAACAAGCCAGATGTCTACAGCGGATGATTCAGTCAAGTTCGAGAACTTCACTTTGCATGCACATCCGTTTCACAGATCTGGCTTATTTATCTTGGTTCCTGTTTCTCAGACAGATACACAACTATGTCGAAGGAAACAACTGATAAGTCGCTCTTAACAGCAGGCTTACGGTCTTTAATTGTGCATCCAAAATGAGACTCGGTGCGGGGAAAATAATTTCCTTGTGTTAATTGGCTGTAAACTCCGGCAGAAAGTTCTGGTTGTTCGTCCATTTCTGAACTCCTAGTCTTGTTCCAGAACCTGAATGTTGTGTGCACATCTTTTTTACAGATCTGCCTCATGTGTATCCAGACTGCTGGTTCTTTGCTTCTCAGGCAGATGCACTCCGATTTTGAAGGAAGCTCGCAATTAGTCGACTCTTATGACGTGCTTTTGAGTAGGTAGCGGGTCTATTGTTGTTTTCCCCCACAATGGTACCCCGAAACCACACGGGGAGAAATAAGTCCACTTTCCGTATTTCATCACGCAGAAGACATAACTTACGTTCTATCATGTACTTCGGGAGGAGCAAAAGCCATCGTGCCACAGAAAGTGACTAAAAATTCCCCTTCTGTCATCACATTTGACAGACCTGAAAACAGAAGATTCACCAGATTGGATCATTTAAAAGAAAAATAATAATGACACTAAATAGTGTCTATAATGATACTAAACTGTCTATAATGACACTAAACAGTATATATAATGACACTAAACAGTATCATGTCTACAGGTGCAGATGCCTACAAGATAGGAAATCCATGCTAAATGTCACGTGACTTGCCATCAATACAAATATTCCTGTGAGTGGTTGTCGTAGAGGTCCCAACACATGAATCTGTCCAGGCAATCACAATGCTGTTAAGATGGCTCTAGTAAGGATACTAATCTTATCCTATATCTCATTTTGACAGTGAGCACTATTTTAAACTACTGACTGACTGACTGACTGACTTTCTACCCCACCAGGACATCACACAAGCGATAAACACCCGATGACACAAAGTGCCACCATGCGGATGAGGATCATCGTGGAGAGGTCCCAGAAACCGCGTTCAGACATTTGGCCATATGTATGGCCTGCCTATATTGCGGCCCCTGGCAAAAGCCAGAGTAGGGCTTCAAATGACAAAAAATTTCGTCCTAAAAAGGACGGAACTGGATATAATAATAATTAAAACTTTTTAAACTACAGTGGTACCTCGATTTAGGAACTGCTATACCTACAAACTTTTCGGGATACTAACTTTTTGAGATACAAACTTTTTTCATGACCTTTTTTTTACCTCTACATACGAACCTAGATATGAGATACGAGCCAAGATGCACTGCACATGCCCACGTATTGTGTGTGTGTGCGTGTGAGGGAGAGAGAGAGGAGGGGAGACAGAGAAGGGGGGGGGGGAGCGAGAAAGAATATCACAATAATCTGGAATACAATACAGCATAACATTAGAGTTATCTCCCTGGGCAGACTGCATTTGGATGAAAGTTGATGAAGCAGACAGGGGGAGCTGGTACAAGAGCATGACAACATTGGGCTGACCACCAAACAGCAACAAGTTAAGAACCGAAAAGGGGGGAAGGATGAGGGGCAAGAGTAAATGTAGACAGCAACAACAACAAAAAAAGGGAGCAATCCTAATAAGTGACATACAATAAAAATAAAAAAGAATCTTGCAGCACTAGGGCCAAAAAGAAAGTGTGAACAAGTGACATTCATATCAACCTGTTGCTTTTGCTGCCACAAGTGTCTTTATTAAGGAAGTCAGTAATCACAGTTCAAACATCTTAAGGAAGCGACAGACAACGTTAAATAGTTTTTTTTATAACCTTCCTTGTCAAAGGAACAGACGAAAGCCACAGATTATATATTTTAATTTAACGGAAGTTTATTTTCATACCACATACATATGTATCATGTAAAACCACCGCGTCGATTAGGACAATGTTAATGGTAATCGAAATGAATAATTAATTATTGCTTTAAAATGCTTCTTCTTTCTTGATCTATATCTTTGCATTTTCTTATTTTAGGAGTAGAATTTATTATCTGCTTTTATTGTTGTAAAATCTGGCAATAGAGTAACTGGTTCCCCGTTAGACGTAATCAGAACTGGGTTTTGTCATACAAACTTTTCGAGATCCATGCCATAGTCAGGGATGATTCAAGTTTGTGAACAGAGAGAGGCACCACTGTACCACTTTTCTATGACAAAAAAAAAAAAAAAACGACCTAAAACTGTGGCAATGCGATAAAGAGAATCATGACTTTACGCTTAACAAACGGAAACAGATTCGCGAAGTCTTCCACATAAAACAAGCAAATGAAGGAATCAAAGCAGAACAGAAATCACAGAAAATGATCATAAGATACTTACCGAAATCTGCAATTTTAACGTTGTCATATCTGTCCAAAAGTATATTCGACAACTTTAGATCTCTGTGCACGATATCCTGTTTGTGGCAGAAGTCTACAGCTGCGATTATCTGCTGCATAAATCTACGTGCCTCGTCAGACGGGAGACCGTCCTGAAGGAAAGAAACAAAACAAATATATATATATATATATATATATATATATATATATATATATATATATATACGTGTGTGTGAGTAAGTAAGTAAGTAAAAAAGTAAAAGACCCTTTTCCACGCCTTTAGGCCTATGGCATAGAGGGCCGGATTTTGACTTGATAAGGCCTTGAGATATATAAAGCCTTGAGGCATCCTACTGGATGAAACAACACCAGCTCATCTAAACAATTTTAAATAGATACCTCTTTTAAATGCATAGACAATGGAAATACAGGGTGTTTGAAAAGACTCACCAGACTTTTCATGCAGTACAAATTTGAAAAAGTGAAGTACATGACGTCATAAAAATGTTCAAAACAAAGTCACTAAGTTACAATAGTTACTTACAGCTATGGTCTAATGCTGTTTTCGAGATATTCATTATAACAGGTGTTGGATGTTTCCACCACGGGCTTGGAGACATGGCTGTACATGCCTGTTCATATTGTCAAATGCCTTCTTAAATTATGTTTGTATTCAACAACTTTCCAACAGTAATGCGATGATACGTATGTTTGTTTATCAGGAAATACAATGGATCTTTGAATAAGCATCCGTGTATATCGACCGCTATTTCGAAACATTGAGCAAAAACCAAACAAAAATTTATTCTGTTGATAACAATGTTCTGCTGTGAGTGCAAAGATCAATTTGATCAATTCAAGTACTTCGTTTTTCAAATTTGTTTTACATACTAAATGTAGCAAGACTTTACAAACACCCTGTATATTATCGTTTAATTTTTAGTAAATTAAATAATGAAGAATATGTTTGCAGAATCCTAAGAATTTTTTTATTATTTTTATAATCCTTTAACTCTTTCAGTCCCAGAAGGTTTAGAATCAAAGGTCCAAGGGGTGGAAAAGAAACGTATCACCAGTACATCTTGAGTTCACTGGGCTTCTAGGCAAGAACCCTTGAACGTGTGATACATTCCTTAGGGCTAAAAAAGCTAAAATACACCGTTAAAGAGAAATTGGCAGATAAAAAACATTTTTAAAATTGCATTTAAGGGGGAAATGGGGGAATTTGTAGAGGTCCTTGCAGATTGTGAGACCTAAAGTTGTACCTTATTTAGCTTATACATAAATTCAACACACTACATAAATACAGAAATGAGGTATATGGTCTTTACACGCCAGCAGCGTATCGTAATTTGAGGTGACTCATTTTTATACAACAATCGGTACTCAGTGGGCAGTGTAGCTATGCTTATGAGCTTTCAAAAAACTGTCTTGTCATAGAGATCCGCAAGCAATCGACTTTACGAACTACAAAGCTTTGAGTTAACATCTATATGTGCAAAGTACACGGTGGCCAGACGTCCCGTTTTCACTGGAACAGTACCGTTTTCTATGTATGTTCCTGTCATTCCGACGGTAATCCAAAAACGCCAGTTGTCCCGTTCTGTAAAAATCTCAAAATAAGCTCGAGAATAGAACATCAGTTAGATCTTTAGACATTTTAGTTCATGTCAGGTCATAGTCTGAGCTATCCTACAACAGTAGCCGGTACTACCTGTCTTCTGCTAACGCCGAATGTTGGGCGGCGTACACAAAACCCTGACATACCACATTGTACTGGCGGTTTCGGGGGGAGGAACGCATTGGGAAGGAAGGATACAAGGCTTATCCTAGGAAGAGGAAATGCATCACGAAAACGTTTGTGTTATTGCAGGCCAGCTGTCATCCCTATACCATGGTGGGTTCCACTGCAAGGACATTTTATTGTTCTCATGTTTTCTCGACGTGTCCTATCCAACGCCAGCGTGTTTTCTTCACCTCTTGATTCAATAAGAGGTAAAGAAAAGAGCTACTCAGAATTCCAAATAAGGAATTAAATTTCATGAGGGGATCTCAGTGGCACATAGGTCAAGCTGGATGCCCAACCATGGCTAGCTTCTGCTGGCCATGGCCTAACGCTGTGAAGGTACTGAGTTCGTATCATGTACTGCGCAGGTCAGTACAGGAATTCATTTTTAAATAAAGATAATTAAGGATCGTCGTTGGAGCTATTAAGTTCGTACTTTGTGTAACACTCTTGGCGGGTGGCTAGTCGTTCTTTGGCAAGCATGTTGTAAATGACGACTAATTATGAATGTACCCAAAGTGTACTGTTGTGCCGAAAGGTACACTTACAGCAGCCTAGCTGTAAAACTCAAAACAACGTACCAACCGCCCTTTTTTAAGTCGTGTGACGGAGAAGAAGAGGCAGCAGCAGAAGCAACAGCAGAAGCAACAGCAGGAGCAGCAGCAGTAACAGCAGCAGGCGCAGCAACAGTAGCAACGGTGGCAGGTAAGGAGGAGGGCAAAACAAAGAAGAATGTGGTACAATCAGTCAACGACCACCGATATAAGCTAAACCACATCTACCATGTTCTTTACTTACTGGATTCTCGGACATGTGCTTTTCCAGGTCAGTGTCGGCATACTCCATAATCATGAACACATGGGTCGGGGTGAAGAGAACATCGTACCTACAACATCAATGTTATGTTAAGAACATTTTCGTCACTTCGTGCCTACAACATCAATGTTATGTTAGGAACATTTTCGTCACTTCGTGCCTACAACATCAATGTTATGTTAGGAACATTTTCGTCACTTCGTGCCTACAACATCAATGTTGTGTCATGAATATTTTCGTTATTTTCGCGCCGACAACATCCATGTTGTTTTTCTTCACTTCGTACCTACAACATCATTGTTTTGTCATAAACATTTTCGTCTTTTTATTTTCTCGCGCCTACAACTTTAATGTTTTGTCATGAACGTTTTCGTCATTTCGTACTTAGAACAACAAAGATTTGCCATGATAAGTTGTCACTTCGTATCTACAATATCAATGTTACATTGTCAACATTGTCATCACTAAATAGTGTAGATTCTTATTATTGTTTGCAGTTACTGTATTATCTGCAGATATTATATTATTCGTGTTACATCTTCCTACGATAATTCACTTCGCGTCTGGTAGATGTCGCATAATATTTTCACTACATAAGGAAAACAAGACCTGCAGACACCACACATCCCCATCGCATTCCTCTCTTGATTGTTGGTATGGACCTACTTCCTTATCGATTCTTACAACAGCGTGTATTCCCACCCTCCTCCCCCAGCATATGTTTAAAGTCAAGGTCTTTCTCTTCAGTCTGTAGATGTTTAAGTATTTTAGCATGTTATCGTATCTTAAATGACTGTGTAATCCATTAAGCAGAGACGAAGATCTTTAACTCTACTTAACGGTGCATATCATGTGTTGTAGTCTTGCCTTCTAAGAATTTACATTGCTGTTCTCATATTTCTGGTTGTATTTTCGTCCTAAACCTGTGCGTGGTGTTTCTTTAAAAAATCTGTGTGATACCATGAAATCGTCAATCAGCACGACTTTTACAGAACGTCGTACTCGTCCCGGCATGCCTGAAAGTCTCTCTCCAGTCAGCTCTCCAGACGTATGTACTTTCATAGCCAATGTAACTTCAATGTCTTCTATCCACGATCGCTGAGGTCTGCCTCTGTCAGTTTTCTGGAAACTGTAGTCTCCATCACCGTCCTGTCCAGGTCACCGTTAAATGTTGAATTAAGAATCGACATTACAACACTGAAGACACCTCTATAGGCGCTCCGTCCCCATCTTCAGCAGCAAGCGAAGAGTTACAATTCCAATAGTACCAGTAAGTGTCTTATTGTATACCCGCAACGTTCACGTTTTGTTTGTGTTTATTGTGCAGCTTGCTGATATACTTTTCGTTCGGTTTTATATTTTTCCTTGATTGCAGATCCGTCTCGCCTTTCCCCTAGGCGTTGAGCACCGGCGAGAACCTCTTTAACCCCTCACAGCGCTATTCTCCCCAGACCGCAATGATCCATCTGTGCCCCCACGCTGTTTAATCGCCCACAAAGAGCTCTCACAACATCCAACTTGGCATACGTCAGTTCACCACCAAGCGGTGCAGAACCAGTCAGGTCCCCGCGAGGTCTTACAGCCAAAATACCTCGGCTTTCGGGGCGGGATGCTGTCTATAAGCCAGTTATTCTCGTGTGATGTGACTCCTGATGCTGATTATTCGATGCTGATCACATTTCAATACTCCTGGTGTCTGAACGCTAAAGTTTCCCATGCAAGCGATAGCTAATTGGAAATGTAGTGGTGTGAATACCAGCATCCACGATGCACAAACGGATGCTCGCATCAAATTATTCTTCAAAACTTAACAGAAAGGCAGAACATGGTCTAAAGAGAGAAAAAAATCAGAACAAGAACGTTAACAGTAATGTTTGTATGTATCCTGATTTTCTTCTTTCTCTCTACGCGACAGTGTTCTCTGTACTACAGGGAGACAAGAGAAACACAGCAGACGGCGGTACCAAGCAAGGGGTCAAGTTCGTCTTCTCCACAGCATACAGTCTATGGTTATTTGCGTATCCTTTACAGCACGTTGCAGAACCAACCCCAACAGCCCCTGGCTGTTGTGTGGGTTTTTTCTAGGCAAATTTACGTCCAGTAGTTTGCCATTATACAGTCTATAGACTAGTAGTATAGACCAGTGCTCTTTGAAATGGTTAAAGTCGCCCCCCTCCCAACCCCCTTTCTTCCGAAGCCCCTTAAGGATATGGCAAGACCCTCCACGCCCCCCCCCCTTCTTCAATGAGTAAAGATCATGACCCCCAACGTACTCCTTGAGTATACAGCAAGACCCCCACACCCCCTCCCACCTCCCCCTAACATAACGGGATTAAAAAGAGGAGGGCAATAGAGTCAGCAACAACGGAAGTACAAAGTGTGCTGATAGTTCGAACGTGTTCCTAATCTGTTAATTAAATTCCTGTGTTGTCATTTTAATTAGATACACAAAATGCTGATAAATAAATTTTTCAAATGTCCTAGGCTTTTTGGTTTAAAGAAAAAAAAATGTTTCCACTGACAAAACATTATAATGGATTATTACAAATGCATTCGGTTTCAAAATCGCTTGACGACCCCACTGAACCCACCTCCTCGTGCACACAGGTTGAAGACCATTGGTATAGACTGTTACATGTTTAGCAGGATGCCTCTCTCGGTCTGCTTTGGAAAACGCTAAAATAAAATGTAATACCATTACGTCTGGAACAAAGCAGGATGCAGAATCTGCCGAATCCGAACAGCAGTGTTCTGTCTGTTCTTTATCAAAATCCCCCCCCCCCCCCCAGATCAGCTGTCAAGAGAGGCTAAGGGACTTATCTGTCCTGTCATAACATTAAGTTTTTAATAATAATGTCAATAGTAATGTTAACATTCTGACACCCCCCCCCCCACCCCCGTCCCACCCACAAATTATGACTAACATTTAAGGCAAGAAAAAGTAACTTGGGCTCTTCGGTCTCGTGACTAGAAGAGAGGCACCGGAGAACATCATGTTGACTGGAAAGATCAACGGCAGCAGAGGCAGAAAAACAGAGGCCATAGTTGGCGGCCGGAGCGATGGAATGGAGGAAATGTCAGTTTATTTAAAACAACAAGGATATAGATCTACGGAGAGACATAGACGCCTATGCTGCCTTGCACGGCACATGATGGTGATGATGATGATGATGATGATGACTAAAAAGTAGACACCCCCAAAATCAGTCAAGAAAAAAACAAACTTACAGCTTGATGAAGAGTGGATGTCTAACAAACATCTTGAGATTCTGAATTTCAATACTCAAGTGGTAAAGACGTCTTCCTTTCAGAAGTTTGTCTTTGGCTAAGCTCTTCACTGCAACAATCTTGCCTGAACGTTCATGTACGCCAACTGAAATACAAATGAAAATACAGAGCCTCAACTGCAATGTAATTTTAGTTTTCGATCTCCTAAGAATCTGGCCATTTGCAGTGGACTATTCATCGCGTGCATTATCAACATTAAGTGCTCTGTAGCACCGGCGAGGATTCTGAAAATACTTTTGAGTAGATTTTGTTTTTAAACTCAATTTTTTTGGACGGGCAGCGCAGTTATTTCTATTTCCAACTGCCAAGGGATTTTTTTTTTTCCGTTCGAGAGACCGGGCAGAATTACTAGAAGTCCAAGTCCACGTGAAAAATCCCAACCCTTGCTAGGGATTGAACCTGGAACCTCCAGAACTCTAGGCGAACACCATGCCTCGAGACCCCGCGTGCATTATCGTGTGTTTCAAACGTAATGCCCTTACACTATCTCGAAAACTCAACACGGATTTTTTGCAAGTGGCCTTACATTTCTCAAATCCTTGTAATTTTATAATTTACAATTGCACAGGTGCTGTTTTCTTAAAGTGGCGACTTTATGTGATCTTTGTTTGACTAATAATTTACTTAGTCGCTCTTATTCTATCTTGGAGTGTAGAGGTTTGCCAGAGAGATCGCCAGACTTCTCTATCAGCAGTTTTCTTTCTGGCTTTGTTCCATTACAGTCCTCTCTCTCGGTAAGGGATTGTAGGATGTTGTCTTCCTAGTGGACTGGGTCGCCCTGGAGGTCTGGTTTTTAACCTTCCGTGCCTGCCATGCGGGCCGATTTTCTTCCATTTTGCATACATGTCAAAACTATTGTAACTGTGACTGATCCACTGTGGTTTGTAAGGACTGTGTATCAAGATCTTGACGTGTTGTCTGATTGCTGACTTTGTTCCTTCTTGTCACTTGGACCACCTTTCACATATCTAATTTCTGAGGCATAAAGCTGGCTTTCGTGAGCTGTTGTCATTGCCCATGACTCACATCCATAGATCAGGAACGGGACATAGGTAGAGCGGTAAACAGCCATTTTCGTCCTCTTGTCTCCCCTCTGCTGCTAATAAACCCTAGGTTTATGGCCCGAAAAAAGTCTCCCATCAGCTGCTTCTCGAGCAGCCAGCTCGGTCTTAATGCCTTTGTTTCGGTCTATTACAACTCTAATAATAATTTACATACCCTAAAAAATATAATGTGCTGTAACTGACACACACGTAGAGACTGTTTGGAAATCAGTTCAAATGTGCAGCGATACGTGGTGATTATTTTGATAGCCCTTCCCGCATACATTGAAACACTTATGTACCACACAGGGGGCTAAAGCTGATGAATATCTTAGAGTGAAACGCCTATTAATCGCGTGCAATATGTTTTGGAAAGTTACCGTTACCAAACTGCTGATTCTTTGCTATGAATTGGGTCTGGCTTTTCATTATGCAAGACGGACGTTTAATCAGAATGCTACTGGCACCATTAGTATCGGAACTCTTCGCTGGCTGCTGAAGATTGGGACGGAGCGCTTATGGAAACGCCCCGAGTGCTGTGATGACGGTTCTTAAATCAAATCAAATCAATTATATTGAAAATAAGGCACAATGAAAACTAGTTTATATTAAAGTAGAAATCATAGAACATAAAGCAGGTTTCATGCCAAATTTCAACAACGTAACCGAACCGTTAATGAGTTAGAGAGTTTCAAAGTTGGACATGTCTTCTGGAACAGTTCTATCTTCTTTTACCCCACCAGGACATCACAAGCGAAAACAGCCGATGACACAAAGTGCCACCATGTGAATGAGGATCACATGTGGAGAGGTCCCGGAAACCGCGTTTAGCGATTAGACGATATTTATGGCTGGGCTATATTGCGCCCCTGGAAAGAGCCAGAGTAGGGCTTCAAATAACGAACAACTGCACCCAAAGGGATGACAAGATATAACTGGAACTGACTATAATAACGGAACATAATGAAGAAATCCAGCAACATGCATTGTGTACAACGTGTGCACGTATGGCTTCTAAGAATGTTAAGGACGTTGCAGAACTAACCCCAGCAGCCCCTGGCTGTTATGTGGTTTCTATGTGGTTACGTTCAGTAGTTTGCCATTGCTTTTTGGACGGTAGGCCATCTGATACCACTGTCGAAACCAACGCAAGGCGCAGGCCCCGCAGCTGGGTTAGAACCCGGCACCCCGGCATTACGAAGCGTTCGCATCGACTTAGCCACAGAGCCGACAAAATGAATGTAGGGTGACAATAATATCGCGAGCTGAAAACGGGACATTCCACTAATAGTTTTAGCTGAAAACGGGACAATCCACTAATAATTTTAGCTGAAAACGGGACATCCCACTAATAGTTTAAGCTAAAATGTTGACATTCCACTTATAGTTTTAGCTGAAAACGGGACATTCCACTAATAAATTTAGCTGAAAACGGGACATTCCACTAATAGTTTTAGCTGAAAACGGGACATTCCACTAATAGTTTTAGCTGAAAACGGGACATCTCACTAATAGTTTTAGCTGAAAACGGGACATTCCACTAATAGTTTTAGCTAAAAACTGGACATCCCACTAATATTTTAAGCTGAAATCGGGAAATATATTTCAAACGAAAGAAGTCTCTTTAAAAAAAAAAAAAAACATTATTTGAAACAAACTCACTTGCAACTTTTCCGAACGCTCCTTTGCCGATAACACTGCCTAAAGTATACTTGCCAATTTTGACTCTGCCTTGCCCAGGCGCCATTGACTCTCCGTACTTCGCCATTCCGTAAATCGTTTAAGTAAATTTTTTGAATCTTGAGGTAACGAAAACCACACTCAGCCCGAATTGCACACTCTGGTTTCCATGTAGAAGTGTTGCAGAGATTTCACATGAATAATCACAACACGCCGGACTAGTCTTTCCGGTTCACGGCTTGGTCCTTTTGTAAACAAATGAAACTCGTGTGGGGTGTAATCAAGTGACGTGTGTTCATTGACCCTCGCTTTATGAACACTTAACTGGTGATTAACAGTAGTCAGTGTTGTCATCATGTATTCAATTTTCAATGAACATTTAACTAAAACATCGAACTGAATCTCTGGAGATGTGGGTATACAGAAGATAAAATCGTATTTCGTGTAGGCAAGAACGGTCAACTGCAGAGGTTCTGTAGAAGCTAGAAATGAAAAGAGCGATATTGAAAAAAAAATGAAAAAGGAGATAATTGAAATATTTCGGCCACATTGAAATACATAACACGCTTACAAATACCATAATGGAGGAAATAGTCAAATGTAAGCAAGAGGTAGACAGTGATACATGTGGGGGAGGGGGGGGGGACAATAAGACAAAATGGAAGAACAGCAGTATGAGAGAGTGTATTACCAAGAAAAGAGACTACCAGTGTTAGAGATCCATTGTAGTGTCAACCAGCATAGGAATGGGACTATCAACCTTGGGACGCTGATGTATATGTTGAAGGGGGAATCTGAGCACCAATGGACGTGTCCGGAGTATCGTGAAGATAACCCAACTCATAACACAGATCCATTGCAGTCAACCTTCGTTGTGGAGACGGCACTTGATCAATTGTTTAATTCATGTTCTTTTAATGCTTTGGTGGTTTCAAGTGTTACATTTTTCGCCATTCTTGACTGACTGACTTTCTACCCCAACATGGACATCACACAAGCGATAAACACCCGATGACACAATGTGCCACCATGTGGGTGAGGATCGCCGTGGAGAGGTCCAAGAAACCGCGTTCAGCCTTTAGGCCATATTTATAGCTAGGTTATATTGCGGCCCCTGGCAAAATCCAGAGTAGGGCTTCAAATAACGAAATATTTCATCCTAAAAAGGACGAGAAGTGAAGTAGTACACATCGCCATTCTTCCATTCTTTTGAGGGGCAGACGAAAGCAAATGGACGTCGCTGGATGCAGTAAAGCCTGGCATATGATTTCATAACGTCTAGTTTGAGAATGGAGGTGGAGGTGGTCACTGCTTCCTGGATGTTGTGAGGGCCCTTTGGGAGCGAGTAAACAGTGCCAAGGAACAGACAGATCATTACGGTCTGAGGAGAATGGAACTGCGAGGAGTTACAAGGGGATCTGGCCAACGCTCTACACTCAGGGGAAAGGCGAGATGGATATACAATCAGACAGTTACTGGTACCACTGGAATTTTAACTCTTCGCTTACTGATGAAAATGGGGACGGAGCGTTTATAGGGGTGTCCCGAGTGCTGTGTTGTCGATTCTTAATTCAACATGCAACATTCCTTTCTGTTTGGTAATCTTTCTTGAATAAATTTTCAGAATGTATATATGCCATGAAACCTGTTAGTCTCATCATCAATGAACAGGTTCTTTACAAAACTTCGTTTTCGTCACGGTACGTCTGAAATTATTCTTTTCCCCTCTAGCTAGTTCTCCGGCCCTATGTGCTTTCACAGCCAGTGTACCTACAATGTCTTGTATCCACATTCGTGGAGGTATATCCCTGCCTTGTCTTTCGGAAACTGTACCATCCACCACCGTTCTCTTTAGGCCACCGTGGCGTTTAACATGGCCAAAATAACCCAGCTTTCGGGACAGGATACTGTTTATGAGCCAATTCTCCCGAATACTCAGATTGTGTAGGGTGTCAGTATTGTTTAAAAAGTTTTTTTTTTTGGGGGGGGGGGGGAGGGGAGGGAGGGGGGAGGTCAGGATAGCTGTAGCAGTTCTAAAAAGACAAATAAGAAAAGACCGTAAGCTAGATCCTCAAATTTACCTTGCCCAAATCTTAATGATCACTGGTATTATTAGGGCATAAACATTCTTCACCAAGCTTCACTCCCAGGTCACGCTTTTATGTTAGCATCAGAGATTCATTGTCCGCCTGCCTAGTCCGTGCAGTTTTGGTGATATCAGCTCTGTGAATGCGTCTTCTCGTTTGCGTTAGTGTCCTACTTGCCAGCTGCTCGGCTTGTTCGTTGCCTTTCACTCCTACATATCCAGGTATGTATGTGCAACATTTGTTAGTTTTAAGTAACTGCTGTTTCATTTAGAGTGAGTTTAAGTATAACGTCTTTGGAAAGGAAATAATCAACTCTAATTCAAACTCTAATACAATGATGTTCAGGAGGAGTCACAATAGCGCAGTGGCTAAGCACTCGACTCCCGGTGTGAAGGTCTTGAGTTCTAATCCACACCTGATTCGAAAAAAAAAAAAAAATGCTTTCGTTTTCAGGTCGCTCAAGCTTTGAATAGGTCCCAAGATTTGTTCCGTAAAGTAAACATGACCGTTGTCACAATGTTGGCCTATAAAAGTATGACCTCATCGTCAAAGTAGAAACACCAACGGGTAGGGAACGACCGAGAAGATGATGGACTGAAGAAGTCATTGAAAGACTGAGTCTTTACAATATCACAGCATACAGGGTAACCGAGCGTGCCCTAGCTCGGATGAAAATCATCTGTTAACCTACGACCCTAGCAGTACAGAGCAGGAAATGTACAAAAGAGGAAAGGAAAGATCAAAGGCCGTGTCGCACCACTGGCTTAAAAACGGTTCCGTGCCTTATATATATATATATATATATATATATATATATATATATATATATATATATATATATATATATATATATATATATATATATATATATATAGACACCATCGGCATTAAGTACATTCATCATCATCATCTTCATCGTCATCATCATCTTCATTATAATTTGCTGTGCCCACAAATGTCGCAGATGGTTAGCATCTTTTCTTTCATTCTTCTTCTTCTTCTTCTTCTTTGCGTTCGGTTTCGTATGCTCATCAGGTGGGTTGCCTCTATCAACTCGTATGTCAGTAGCAGGCCCTTTGTGGTTCTCCAATGCTTGCTCTGCACATTGTTTTCTTTCAGTAAGTGGCAGGATGCAGCTAAGCATTAATTAAAACTATAACTGGGAAAAAAATGGAAAACAAAGCTCAGCGGGGTGAGCGGAAAGGTCGCGCACAAATCCAACTGAACATGTCGACAAAGGTCTTTATCAACAGAACACTAAATACAGGGAAGCTTGTGTGGTCTACACGATCGCCTGCAGATCCGAAGGTCGTGGGTTCAGGTCTCGACTGAGCTTGACTGTTTTTTCAATGACTTTAGCTTCCAGGTCGACCAAGGCTTACATGGGTATAAGTTAAAGTCTTGGGAAGTAAAGGCGAACTGTGCGATGTTGCCCACATCACGCATTGAGTGCCGGTCGGTCTATAAAAGATAGTACTAGCCCAAATGCAAATACGCCTAAAGACATGCACAAGTGCCCTTTACCTTATTAATTAATGTACAAGAGAAACCATAAAACAAACGGTGATGAGGGAAGCTAAAGGTGTTGGACTGGATTCTATCCATACTACCGAAATGACTGCATTGGGTAGAACGGAATGGAGTAGTAGACTGCGAACCATGTTTGACACATAATGACACAATAGGGCTATGAATGAATTAATACAACACAATACTTGCTATTTAAAACTAGAATTTCACAGGATATCAGGAATTAGAATAATTCCAGGCTGGTCCCAGTGTTGCCACTCTTGACAAAAAACATCCGAAAGGGCGTCAAAAAATGTCTAAAAACATCTAAATTTGCGTGGAGAACATTTAAAAAAACCCATCCAAATGGAAAGAGTTACAAATTACATAGCAATAGATATGACTTACCCTATAGAATTGTGTCCTCATCTTTACTGAAGCCTGCCTTACAAGATCCACAGGATAAACTTAGCTTGGATAATGAAGGTGAAGCTTCAGATCCAAAATAACTGGTATGCTCTAGTTGTTCCAGTTTCTTTTAATACCCAATCAGGGAGCTGATTAGTGGAACAGCTTTTTCCTACTCTTATCAGGCCAAATTTTATTGTCAAGATAGCATTTAAAAGGTCCAATTTCATCCTGTTTCGTTGGTTAGATTAATAAATTCACTTCAAATGAAACTCATCTAGCAAAACATCTACCATCTAAACGTCAAAAACGCTTTCTAAGTGCAAGGGAAAACATCTAAAACTGGAGGTAAAACATCCTAAGTGACAACACTTATTAGTTCACATGAAAGAGCGGGACAGAAATAAACAGGAAACACAATTCATACGCATGCGCACCGGAATACTTTTGGTAAATGGCCGAAATTTGAACGGTCAGAGCAGAACAGCTTGCAGACTGTTTTATGCAGACAGATTCGATTGGAAATGATTGTCTAGAAAATATTACCTTTCCCACTACAAAGAGCTGCCATAAAAGCACACCGGGATAGCTCTTATCTGGACCTATCATAGGAATACACCCGATGAGCTGATAACCATTTGTCTTCCACATCAAAAGACTGAGTTGGGTAATATTAGTTATAGTTATAGTTTTTGATTTTTACGGCGGATTTTTAAAATGAATGAAAATTTCAGTTTCTTTAGCGTCTTGTGTGTGTGGTTGAAATGTAGTTTCATCTGTGGGTATTGCGTGGAAGCCAGAATCTTTGGGTTCAGGCACAAGTATTTGGGGTGGAAGGAGGCTCTTAGCCCTCCCCGATCCCGGTCAACGATGTTTTAAAGTTCCCCCTTTTTTGAGTATTTCGACACTACAAATTATTTCATATATATTATATGTTACCATCGAGTGTATTTTTATTATGCACTTAAAAAGGCTTAGGTCACCGAAACCCGCACGGAGAGCATATTGCATATGATGCTGGCCATATATGAAGTGAAACTCAGTGGGTCATATGGTCAATAGCATACCAGCTACCTTTACTTCTCAGAATACTTCCTGATGCCCACTTCATACAGTGTTGAGTTAGGTGCTCAGGTAACAGTTAAGATCACCCTCAATGTTGATTCAAACCTTCCCTGAGTGGGTTCTGGGACCCCATTAAAAAAAAAAAAGACCCAAAGCATCCTTAACAAGCATGTCATAAAATGCCACTAAGGGATTTTTCCTGCAAAGTCAGAGTTTGTCTGCCTAACTGGTGAGGAACCAGCAGTCTGCATACAAGTAAGCCAGATCTGTGAAATGGATGTGCATGCAAAATTCAAGTTCTGGTTCTGAAACCATAACTTTTCTCCAGAACTTAAAGCCATTGAATGCTAAGAAGAAGGAGGAGATTTGAACCTATGAGCATTGATTTATGACTGAAAATGTCTTTGAACATTTATTATTACTGAAAATACTATTGATATGGACTTAACAATGTTTAACTCTTTGAGTCCCAAGGAACGTTTCATACGTTCATAGATTCCTACCTGGAAGCCCAATGAACGCATGATGCGCTGATTTTACGTCTTTCTTGACTACCCTTTGGGCCTGTGATGCTAAACCCCCTGGGACTCAAAGAGTTAAGACTATTGATTGAGACTAAAAATATCTATGACTATTGATTGTGACTGAAAATATCTTACTATTGGTTGAGACTGAAAATATGATATCATTGATTTAGACTGAAATCTATGACTATTGGTTGTGACTGAAAATATCTGTTATCATTGACTGAGACTGAAAATACCTATGTGACTTGGTTGAGATTGAAAATAACTATGACTATTGATTGAGACAGAAAATATCTGTGACTATTGATTGAGACTGAAAATATCTGTGACTATTGATCGAGACTGAAAATATTTGTGACTATTGATTGAAACTGAAAATATAAACTACCATTGATTGAGACTGAAAATATCTATGACTGTTGATTGAGTGAAATATCTGTGACTATTGATTGAGACTGAAAATATCTATGACTATTAATTGAGTGAAATATCTGTGACTTTTGATTGACACTGAAAATATCTATGACCATTGATTGAGACTGAAAATATCTATGACTATTGATTGAGTGAAATATCTGTGACTATTGATTGAGACTGAAAATATCTGTGACCATTGATTGAGTGAAATATCTATGACTATTGAATGAGACTGAAAATATCTATGACTATTGATTGTCACTGAACAAAATTATAACTATTGATTGAGACTGAAAATATCTGTTATCATTGATTGAGGCTGAAAATATCTGTGAACATTGATCGAGTGAAATATCTGTGACTATTCATTGAGCCTGAAAATATCTATGACTATTGATTGAGACTGAAAATATCTATGACTATTGATTGAGTGAAATATCTATGACTATTGATTGAGACTGAAAATATCTATGACCATTGATTGTCACTGAAAATAATTATGACAGTTGATTGTGACTGAAAATGTCCTACTTTTCTGAACTTTTTTTCTGTGGTAATGACTTGACAATAATATTCTTCTTTATAATTTTGTCTTAAATAAACAGAATGAAAACAAATGCCAGATACACCTGGAGATATATTGCCACTAGCAGGACATGAGGAACACAGGAGAAAGCTCAGGGAAGATAGAAGGATAGAGTATAATGACATTGTTAAAGAGGTATTCCTGAATTTTGTATTTTTGCTGCTACTAAATGTGTACCTTTATTTTGTAAATCAATCTACATTGTTTGGGTTTGTCGTGTGAATGGGAAAGCTGGAGAGCATAGTTTGGGTTTGTCGTGTGAATGGGAAAGCTGAAGAGCATTGTTTGGGTTTGTCCTGTGAATGGGAAAGCTGGAGAGCATTGTTTGGGTTTGTCGTGTGAATGGGAAAGCTGGAGAGCATAGTTTGGGTTTGTCCTGTGAATGGGAAAGCTGGAGAGCATTGTTTGGGTTTGTCGTATGAATGGGAAAGCTGGAGGGCATTGTTTGGGTTTGTCATGAGAATGGAAAAGCTAGAGGGCATTGTTTGGGTTTGTCGTGTGAATGGTAAAGCTGGAACGCATTGTTTGGGTTTGTCATGAGAATGGGAAAGCTGGAGAGCATTGTTTTGTCATGTGAATGGGAAAGCTGGAGGGCATTGTTTGGGTTTGTCATGAGAATGGGAAAGCTGGAGGGCATTGTTTGGGTTTGTCATGAGAATGGGAAAGCTGGAGGGCATTGTTTGGGTTTGTTGTGTGAATGGAAAAAGCTGGAGGGCATTGTTTGGGTTTGTTGTGTGAATGGGAAAGCTGGAGGGCATTGTTTGGGTTTGTTGTGTGAATGGAAAAAGCTGGAGGGCATTGTTTGGGTTTGTCATGAGAATGGGAAAGCTGGGCTGGATGGCATTATCAGTAGGGAAGTGTAAGTAGCAGGAGGAACCCATGTTTATGTTAGTGAGTACGTGTATGTTGCTATTTGTCTACTTATGTCTGTGTTTATGTTACTGTCGACCTGTGTTTGTGTATGTGTGTGTTACATGTCTACCTGTGTGTGTGTGTTTGCTATCTGTGTTTACCTGTGTTTGTGTGTGTGTTTGTGTGTGTGCTACATGTGTCGGCCTGTGTTTGTGTGTATATCTGCTACATGTGTCTACTTGTGTTTGTGTGTGTGTCTGTTACAGGTGTATTTACTGTGTCTGTATTTATGTTCTATGTTACTGTATGTCTACCTGTATAGATGATTATATGTCTAGTCATGTTTATAATGCTACCCATATATTATTTTAGTTAATTATATGTTTGCCTATGTTTATATATAGGTAGTTGTATATGAGTTTATGAATAGTTGATAATGAAATACCAGTGCCTGTATGTATGCGAGTGTGTTTCTACCTGTATTTATAAATAGATGATTGTTTCTACCAGTATTTATATATAGGTGATTGTCTAACAGTGTTTATGCATAGATAATGTGTGTGTGTGTGTGTGTGTGTGTGTGTGCACGCTGCATGTGTCTACCTGTGTTTGTGTGTCTGCTACGTGTCTACCTGTTTGAGTGTGTGGTACATGTGTCTGTGTTTGTGCATCTGTATGCTAAATGTGTCTACCTGTGTTTGTGTGTCTGTCTGCTACATGTGTCTGCCTGTGATTGTTTGTCTGCTACATGTGTCCACCTCTGTTTGAGTATGTGCTACATGTGTCTGCCTGTGTATGTGTGTCTTGTCTGCTACATGTGTCTACCTGTGTTTGTGCATCTGTATGCTAAATGTGTCTACCTGTGTTTGTGTGTCTTGTCTGCTGCATGTGTCTACCTGTGATTGTTTGTCTGCTACATGTGTCCACCTCTGTTTGAGTATGTGCTACATGTGTCCACCTCTGTTTGAGTATGTGCTACATGTGTCCACCTCTGTTTGAGTATGTGCTACATGTGTCTGCCTGTGATTGTTTGTCTGCTACATGTGTCCATCTCTGTTTGAGTATGTGCTACATGTGTCCACCTCTGTTTGAGTATGTGCTACATGTGTCCACCTCTGTTTGAGTATGTGCTACATGTGTCCACCTCTGTTTGAGTATGTGCTACATGTGTCCACCTCTGTTTGAGTATGTGCTACATGTGTCCACCTCTGTTTGAGTATGTGCTACATGTGTCTGCCTGTGATTGTTTGTCTGCTACATGTGTCCACCTCTGTTTGAGTATGTGCTACATGTGTCCACCTCTGTTTGAGTATGTGCTACATGTGTCTGCCTGTGATTGTTTGTCTGCTACATGTGTCCACCTCTGTTTGAGTATGTGCTACATGTGTCTACCTGTGTTTGTGTGTCTTGTCTGCTACATGTGTCTACCTGTGTTTTTGTGTGTGTGTGTGTGTGTGTTTGATGTGTATTTACTCTCTATTTATGTTGTATGTTACTGTGTGTCAGCCTGTATAGGTGATTGTATGTCTAGCCTTGTTTGTAATGCTACCTGTGTTTTGGTTTAGATAATTATATGTCTGCCCATGTTTATATGTAGGTAGTTGTATGTGAGTTTCTTTATGAGTAGTTGATAATGAAATACCAACGCCTGTATGTATGTGAGTGTGCTTCTACCTGTATTTGTAAAAAGGTGATTGTCTACCAGTGTTTATCCAAGAATGATTGTGTCTACCCATTTCTGCATTTGTATGCCGAACCGTGTTGGGTAGATGCAACTATGTACATAGTTATGCTTGCATGTGGTTTGCAATTGAAATTTAACATTTTTTTTTTACTTATACAACAATATGGTCTTGCTAGGCAGATGAATACAAGGCTAGTATACTTGCAGCTGATGAAGGTGAAGCTACAAAGGTAAGAAATGATGTTTTACTATTACAGATTGCGTTGTTTTCACATTGTTATACAAATGACTTTCAAATCCTAGAAGATTACAAAGGAGATATCAGAGGCTAGAAATAACCACTGTGTGATGCCATGCATGTACTTCTTTCCAAGAGGACATGCGCAGTTGAAATGGATGTTGGGGAAGCCAGATTTTTATAGTATGATTTGACCAAATGTAAAGAGAAGGAGAACACATTCAGGCTTCAATGTATTTTAACCACAGTGCATAGCTTCGGTGCAAATGTGTATATTTTTTAAACTTATGACTTTTCTCAACCTCTCCTTTCTCCTCCCATTCTTACTTTCCCTTTCTCCCATTCTTTTTTCTTTCTCTCCATCCCTTTCTCTCTCTGCCTTCCTAAACCCCTCTTTTTCCAGTACAGCTCCCATCTTCCTCTTCTCTCAAGTCAAAAGCAGTTGTTTGAAACTGAAATTTTACATAACTCTGTATATGAAATTAAATGCAGCAGAAGTACACAGGCAGACAATCCCAGCAGACGACAAAGTCCAGCATTGAGTTTGCTGATTGTATTGGTGATCGGCATTCCTACTTAGTCCAGCAACAGAGGAAGAAGTGGAAGGATGTTGATATCAAGCCATACAAAGTAAGCTCTCTTATCGTCATATCTGAGGATGCTGTAGATTTTCTAGTAGAAATTATGTCCTCTTATCTTCATATCTGAGGATGTTGGAGGTTTTCTGATAGAAATTATGTCCTCTTATCTTCATATCTGAGGATGTTGGAGGTTTTCTGATAGAAATTATGTCCTCTTATCTTCATATCTGAGGATGTTGGAGGTTTTCTGATAGAAATTATGTCCTCTTATCTTCATATCTGAGGATGTTGGAGGTTTTCTGATAGAAATTATGTCCTCTTATCTTCATATCTGAGGATGTTGGAGGTTTTCTGATAGAAATTATGTCCTCTTATCTTCAAATCTGAGGATGTTGGAGGTTTTCTGGTAGAAATTATGTCCTCTTATCTTCATATCTGAGGATGTTGGAGGTTTTCTGGTAGAAATTATGTCCTCTTATCTTCATATCTGAGAATGTTGGAGTTTTTCTGGTAGAAATTATGTCCTCTTATCTTCATATCTGAGGATGTTGGTTTTCTTGCAGAGATTTTGTCATCATTTGAGGCTCTATCTCCAGCATAAAAGCTCTTTTAATGATATTTGTGACTGAAGAATATAGTTCTAATCCCATAATTTTGACTAAATGGTACTCACTGAATGATGGGGTCATCATCATGCTGACTACCTTTACTTTTCAGGACACTTTCTCATACCTATTGTAGGCGGGGTTGACCTGGGAGCCCTAAGTTCTTTTTTTTTTCTGACGGTACTCATTACCGGCACCTCTTATTTGTTTTGTTTTTGTTCAGCGCTCCTGTAATAGGCACTTTGGGGTTAGGTTTGAGGTTTGAACAACAGATCATCATGACACAAGGGTAGTAACGCATAAGTGCTCCGTTCTACTTTTAACTCAAGTCTGAGTCCATGTAGCTCAGCGCAGTGCACAGGCTCTGTAGCACCGGCGAGGATCCAGAGATATTTTGGGTAGATTTCTAACTGCAAATTTTGCCCGGGCAGAGCCGTTAGGCTACTCTTTTTGATTTTCAACTGCTAAGGGATTTTTTTTTTACGTGTGCAACAATACACATGGGCGTCCAATCTAACTACCCAGAGACCAGGGGAAATTACTAGCAGTCCACTTGAAAAAATCACAGCCTTCGTCGGGGCCTGAACCCGGGACCTCTAGCACTCGAGGCAGACACCATGCCTCAAGACCACCCAACCCCCCCCCCACCCCCCCCCCCCCCACCCCCCCCTTGTGGTTAGGATCAACACCTTTATAAGACACTTCATGGTTAGTACTGGCACTTTATTTTCTAGGGAATAAAAGCCCCTGCCTAGGTTAATTATAAGGCTTCATCTCGGTGCAAATTCAAACCCAAGATGTTTTGGTTTATAGACTGGGGGTCTACCCACTGTGCTATTATCGCTCCCAGTGGAGCTTATTTTTCTCAACCAGCTCACACCAGGTACACAAAGGCTTGCTTACTCTTTCGGTCCCAGAAGATCATAGCTGATGCCTGATTAAAGCAGTAATACTAACCAAACTATTGGATTACTGCATCCACAGGATCCGAATACACAGTACATTCTGGGCGACTTGTGCTGTTGGGTTGGTTTAGTTTGCCTGAATAAAACTAAGATGTATGAGGATATTTTCAGTACATGTGGTGCATTGTTTGGGATTCAAAGAGCTTATGGTTTATTGGATATTGCAAGTGAAGTTTTCTGCTTCTTGAGGAAAACAAGTCTCATGCCAACCATCTTTAGGGATCTCTTTGACATGCATGATAAGTTACAGTGGTACTATTCTGTGCTTCCCTACTGGGTTCTGATTGTGCATGGACCATTTGAGATGCTAGATTATTGTCAATTATTTTCATCTTAGCATTCACTGGCTGTAATCTCCAGCAAAAAGCTCTGGTTGTTCGTCCTTTTCTGATCTTTGGTCTTGTTCTGAAACTTTAGTTTTGCATGCACATTCATTTTAAAGATTTGGCAAACTGTTGGTTTCTTACCTCTCAGATAGATGTGTTATGACTTTGAAAGAAATACTCATAGTTCTAAGCATTCACTGGCTGTAATCTCCAGCAGAAAGCTCTGGTTGTTCGTCCTCTTCTGATCTTTGGTCTTGTTCTGAAACTTTAGTTTTGCATGCACATTCATTTTAAAGATTTGGCAAGCTGTTGGTTTCTTACCTCACAGATAGATGTGATATGAATTTGAAAGAAATACTCATAGTTCTTAGCATTCACTGGCTGTAGTCTCCAGCAAAAAGCTCAGGTTGTTTGTCCTCTTCTGATCTTTGGTCTTGTTCTGAAACTTTAGTTTTGCATGCACATTCATTTTAAAGATTTGGCAAACTGTTGGTTTCTTACCTCTCAGATAGATGTGATGACTTTGAAAGAAATACTCATAGTTCTTAGCATTCACTGGCTGTAATCTCCAGCAAAAAGCTCTGGTTGTTCGTCCTCTTCTGATCTTTGGTCTTGTTCTGAAACTTAAGTTTTGCATGCACATCCATTTTACAGATCTGGCAAACTGTTGGTTTCTTATCTCTCAGATAGATGTGATATGACTTTGAAAGAAATACTCACAGTTATTCACATTTTACATGTTTTGTTAGCTGCATTGAGTCTGTTCATTGTTGTTATTGTTGTTGCCGCATGGGGAATTGTACATTTTTGTTTTTTTAATCATTGTTCTATTTGTTTTGTGTTTCCAGAGAGTGAGTGATTTTAAATGTATCTAATAATACGTTTTGTTTAAATTTTCATTTAATAATATTTTCTATGGTTAGAGCTGTAATTGTTTTGTGATAGTGTGACATTATAGAGGAAATATAAAATACAAGCAGACCTGCAGGAAAGATGATGTCATACAAACTGACCTGCATGAAAGATGATGTCATACAAGCTGACCTGCAGGAAAGATGATGTCATACAAGCTGACCTGCATGAAAGATGATGTCATACAAGCTGACCTGCAGGAAAGTTGATGTCATACAAGCAGACCTGCATGAAAGATGATGTCATACAAGCAGACCTGCATGAAAGATAATGTCATACAAGCAGACCTGCAGGAAAGATGATGTCATACAAGCAGACCTGCAGGAAAGATGATGTCATACAAGCAGACCTGCATGAAAGATGATGTCATACAAGCAGACCTGCATGAAAGATGATGTCATACAAGCAGACTTATGTGAAAGATAATGTCATATAAGCAGACCTGCATGAAAGATGATGTCATAAAGCAGACCTGCATGAAAGATGATGTCATACAAGCAGACCTGCATGAAAGATAATGTCATACAAGCAGACTTACATGAAAGATAATGTCATGCAAGCAGACCTGCATGAAAGATAATGTCATACAAGCAGACTTACGTGAAAGATAATGTCTTACAAGCAGACCTGCATGAAAGATAATGTCATACAAGCAGACCTGCATGAAAGATAATGTCATACAAGCAGACCAGCTTGAATGATAATGTCATACAAGCAGCATTACGTGAGAGATAATGTCATACAAGCAGACTTACGTGAAAGATAATGTCATACAAGCAGACTTACGTGAAAGATAATGTCATACAAGCAGACCTGCATGAAAGATAATGTCATACAAGCAGACCTGCATGAAAGATGATGTCATACAAGCAGACCTGCATGAAAGATGATGTCATACAAGCAGACCTGCATGAAAGATAATGTCATACAAGCAGACCTGCATGAAAGATAATGTCATACAAGCAGCATTACGTGAGAGATAATGTCATACAAGCAGACTTACGTGAAAGATAATGTCATACAAGCAGACTTACGTGAAAGATAATGTCATACAAGCAGACCTGCATGAAAGATAATGTCATACAAGCAGACCTGCATGAAAGATAATGTCATACAAGCAGACCTGCATGAAAGGTGATGTCATACAAGCAGACCTGCATGAAAGATAATGTCAAACAAGCAGACTTACGTGAAAGATAATGTCATGCAAGCAGACCTGCATGAAAGATAATGTCATACAAGCAGACCTGCATGAAAGATAATGTCATACAAGCAGACCTGCATGAAAGGTGATGTCATACAAGCAGACCTGCAGGAAAGATGATGTCATACAAGCTGACCTGCATGAAAGATGATGTCATACAAGCTGACCTGCATGAAAGATGATGTCATACAAGCTGACCTGCAGGAAAGTTGATGTCATACAAGCAGACCTGCATGAAAGATGATGTCATACAAGCAGACCTGCATGAAAGATAATGTCATACAAGCAGACCTGCAGGAAAGATGATGTCATACAAGCAGACCTGCAGGAAAGATGATGTCATACAAGCAGACCTGCATGAAAGATGATGTCATACAAGCAGACCTGCATGAAAGATGATGTCATACAAGCAGACTTATGTGAAAGATAATGTCATATAAGCAGACCTGCATGAAAGATGATGTCATAAAGCAGACCTGCATGAAAGATGATGTCATACAAGCAGACCTGCATGAAAGATAATGTCATACAAGCAGACTTACATGAAAGATAATGTCATGCAAGCAGACCTGCATGAAAGATAATGTCATACAAGCAGACTTACGTGAAAGATAATGTCTTACAAGCAGACCTGCATGAAAGATAATGTCATACAAGCAGACCTGCATGAAAGATAATGTCATACAAGCAGACCAGCTTGAATGATAATGTCATACAAGCAGCATTACGTGAGAGATAATGTCATACAAGCAGACTTACGTGAAAGATAATGTCATACAAGCAGACTTACGTGAAAGATAATGTCATACAAGCAGACCTGCATGAAAGATAATGTCATACAAGCAGACCTGCATGAAAGATGATGTCATACAAGCAGACCTGCATGAAAGATGATGTCATACAAGCAGACCTGCATGAAAGATAATGTCATACAAGCAGACCTGCATGAAAGATAATGTCATACAAGCAGCATTACGTGAGAGATAATGTCATACAAGCAGACTTACGTGAAAGATAATGTCATACAAGCAGACTTACGTGAAAGATAATGTCATACAAGCAGACCTGCATGAAAGATAATGTCATACAAGCAGACCTGCATGAAAGATAATGTCATACAAGCAGACCTGCATGAAAGGTGATGTCATACAAGCAGACCTGCATGAAAGATAATGTCAAACAAGCAGACTTACGTGAAAGATAATGTCATGCAAGCAGACCTGCATGAAAGATAATGTCATACAAGCAGACTTACGTGAAAGATAATGTCTTACAAGCAGACCTGCATGAAAGATAATGTCATACAAGCAGACCTGCATGAAAGATAATGTAATACAAGCAGACTTACGTGAAAGATAATGTCATGCAAGCAGACCTGCATGAAAGATAATGTCATACAAGCAGACTTACATAAAAGATAATGTCATACAAGCAGACCTGCATGAAAGATAATGTCATACAAGCAGACCTGTTTGAAAGATAATGTCATACAAGCAGCCTTACGTGAGAGATAATGTCATACAGGCAGACTTACGTGAAAGATAATGTCATACAAGCAGACCTGCATGAAAGATGATGTCATACAAGCAGATGTGCATGGAAGATAATGTCATACAAGTAGACCTGCATGAAAGATGATGTCATACAAGTAGACCTGCATGAAAGATAATGTCATACAAGCAGACCTGCTTGAAAGATGATGTCATACAAGCAGACTTATGTGAAAGATAATGTCATACAAGCAGACCTGCTTGAAAGATAATGTCATACAAGCAGACCTGCATGAAAGATAATGTCATACAAGCAGACCTGCTTGAAAGATGATGTCATACAAGCAGACCTGCATGAAAGATGATGTCATACAAGCAGACCTGCATGAAAGATTATGTCATACAAGCAGACCTGCATGAAAGATAATGTCATACAAGCAGACATGCATGAAAGATAATGTCATACAAGCAGACCTGCTTGAAAGATGATGTCATACAAGCAGACCTGCATGAAAGATGATGTCATACAAGCAGACTTACTTGAAAGATAATGTCATACAAGCAGACCTGCATGAAAGATAATGTCATACAAGCAGACCTGCATGAAAGATAATGTCATCCAAGCAGACCTGCATGAAAGATAATGTCATACAAGCAGATGTGCATGAAAGATAATGTCATACAAGCAGACCTGCATGAAAGATAATGTCATACAAGCAGACCTGCATGAAAGATAATGTCATACAAGCAAATCTGCATGAAAGATAATGTCATACAAGCAGATATGCAGGAAAGATAATGTCATACAAGCAGACTTATGTGAAAGATAATGTCATACAAGCAGACCTGCATGAAAGATAATGTCATACAAGCAGACCTGTATGAAAGATGATGTCATACAAGCAGACCTGCATGAAAGATGATGTCATACAAGCAGACCTGCATGAAAGATGATGTCATACAAGCAGACATGCATGAAAGATGATGTCATACAAGTAGACCTGCATGAAAGATGATGTCATACAAGCAGACCTGCATGAAAGATGATGTCATACAAGCAGACCTGCATGAAAGATGATGTCATACAAGCAGACCTGCATGAAAGATAATGTCATACAAGCAGACTTACGTGAAAGATAATGTCATACAAGCAGACCTGCATGAAAGATGATGTCATACAAGCAGACTTACGTGAAAGATAATGTCATACAAGCAAACTTACATGAACGATAATGTCATACAAGCAGACCTGCATGAAAGCTGATGTCATACAAGCAGACTTACGTGAAAGATAATGTCATACAAGCAGACCTGCATGAAAGATGATGCCATACAAGCAGACCTGCATTCACTTAGAGGCACCAGATCAAAAGACAATGCCACTTAGAGAAATGAATAGAGCCAGGTGATATCTGCAGCAGTGAAACTCAAGGGCTTGATAAATTGAAGAAGAAGGGAAACAGTGCAACATTAGGGAGAGATTGTGTAAAGCCAATGCCTACATATGCTTGGAAGGAGTTGGGGGAAAGAGGTAAAAATTTCAACTTCCACAGAAGAGCAAATGACAAGCTAGTTAATGAAGTGAGAGCACAAGAAAGCTGGAAAGGGAAAGGGTTCAGATCTCAGATGATTACCTCTGCTAATTAAATTGAATACATTTAATAACATTAATAATAACATATTTACAAACATTTTCTGTAGTAGAATCTGTTGCTAAACTGCCATTGCCCTTTCAACAACAGCTAGAGTCATCCAAATTAAGAGATGTCAATTCTCAGTCCGAGTCTGGTGGTGGTATACTTGTAGAAAAGAGACCATCCGAGGTAAGCCTGAAGACAGATAGATCTTTGACATACTGATCGTCTGTAATTTTTTATTTGATGTCTACGAGAGAAATATCAGAGAGTTGTTAGGACTGGAATATTTTTATTTCTGTGAGCCTCAAGACTGGGACAGTAATCTTCCCAATATGTAGCTAACTGTTAAATAAAAATGATTAATAGGTAGGGTGATTCTTTTAAAAGGTTTAATGTCATGTTTGCCTGGTTGTCAGAGGTTCAGATCCCCCTTGAGATGTTTTGTTTGTTAAATCACACATGTGTTGTTTCACTGCTTGTGTTACTGTTTGCTGCTCCGTTATTTAATCTCTTCACATCTATGTCCTTCTTTGCCTCTCTTGTCGCTGTTTGTTCATAAAGGCTGATTGGTTTACAGTACATTTTCAATTATGCTCGGTAAATTTCTTTTTTCCTATGGTTCCACAATTTTAATGAATAGTTTTATAACGCCTGCACGTCTTCAGCATTTGTTTTCCTTTCTGGCCTCAACATTGTTAACATTCTTTTTAACAATAGTTTAGTCTTTATTGTCTAGGATTAACATCTATAAAGAAGAGCAGACCACTCCTGATTAATTCTTTGTATTGTAATTATTTCTTGTTATTTCTAAAAATTATTTTGTGTGTAACCATCCTTTTATTCCCTCAAGCATTTATTTTTTTGTTTGTTTTGAATTTATGTTTATTGAGCCTTAAACTGTATTTACATGGTGTTACGTTTGTCTGATACTATTCTTTGTGTTGTTCATGGTTCTTGTGGTACTATTCTGCTTTTTCACCCTATCTCGTCAAATGCGAAATTTTGTAGGGAATCTCTTCAGGACAGTCCTATAGTCTAGGGATGTTTAGACATGCTTTTTATTCGCCATAAACATACAATGTCCAAAAAAAGTGTCTCGGCTTCGTTCTACCGCATCACCACACCGCCTCCCAGACAAAAAAACGCAGCTTTCTTTTCTCCCAGACGAAAATGAGCAACTGTCTTCTCTGTAAACTATTGTTTGAGGGTTAGGGTTATGATTAGATGCAGGAATACTGATTGGTCAAGGAAATTCATGGTGAAAGCCAAATCGTGAAGCAGGAACAGCGCTTCGAAACAGGGCAGAGTGAGGGCAAGGAACGAAGAAAAGTTAACACTCACTGGAAATGACGACCCATAAATTATAACAACGCTGAAAAGAACCAACATCTGACACACTTAGAATATAGAAGTTTTAGGGTTAGTGTTAAATAAGCAGCGACAAACACTAACCCTGACCCTAACCCCCATATACTTTAAGAATGTCCCAGTGAATTCCCTACGCAATCTCCCACCCCGACAGATATGGTAAAAAAACTGAACAGTACCGTTCTTTTTATTTGTATGTTTAACTTGCTCTGATTTTTTTCCCCCAGACATCACACAAATGCTTAGATTCTTCACCAGCTGTGCCCCGACGGAGGTGGATCATCCCTGATTATGAAGCTATACTAAACCAGAAGCGAAGTCAGGAATCAAATTATAGGTACAATAACAAAACATGGAGAAAGGAACTAGAGAATCTGTTGAAACACATGAGGAGGACTCAGGTTGAGATGTATATAACTGTAGAATGGCTTGGCATGAACTGTTTCAGGGCTTATGCTCCTTTGAGGGATAAAGAGCTGCCCAAGAGGCAATGAACCAACAGTCTGCATACAAATAAGCCAGATCTGTCAAATGTACACACAAAACTCAAGTTCTGGAACAAGACTACAGTCCAGAAGTGGACGAACAACCAGAACTTTCTGCTGGAGTTTACAGCCGGTGAACATGTAGAAGAAGAAGGTTTGATATGAATAAATGATAGTATTTAACATCAATGCATAAGTCAGACATCTTAGACGAACAAGCATGACAGTATATTTGACACATTTAGGATGCACAAATGATATTGCTTAGCATAAAATTTGTAGTAATCTTAAGCGTTATGATGCTTTTCAGCAATTCAGTTTGATACACTCAATGTTTAAAAAAAAAATTTTATGGCACCTTTTTTAAGTCATCATTTGTTTCCTTCACTGCTACGGTAATAGACACTTTGTGGTGAATGTCAGTACCATTTTAAACACTTTGTGGTGAGTGTTAGTACCATTTTAGACACTTTGTGGTGAATGTCAGTACCATTTTAAACACTTTGTGGTGAGTGTTAGTACCATTTTAGACACTTTGTGGTGAATGTCAGTACCATTTTAAACACTTTGTGGTGAGTGTTAGTACCATTTTAGACACTTTGTGGCGAATGTCAGTACCATTTTAAACACTTTGTGGTGAGGGTTAGTACCATTTTAGACACTTTGTGGTGAATGTCAGTACCATTTTAAACACTTTGTGGTGAGGGTTAGTACCATTTTAGACACTTTGTGGTGAATGTCAGTACCATTTTAGACACTTTGTGGTGAATGTCAGTACCATTTTGGACACTTTGTGGTGAGTGTCAGTATCATTTTAGACATTTTGTGGTGAGTGTCAGTACCATTTTAGACACTTTGTGGTGAGTGTCAGTATCATTTTAGACATTTTGTGGTGAGTGTCAGTACCATTTTAGACACTTTGTGGTGAATGTCAGTACCATTTTAGACACTTTGTGGTGAATGTCAGTACCATTTTAGACATTTTGTGGTGAATGTCAGTACCATTTTAGACACTTTGTGGTGAATGTCAGTACCATTTTGGACACTTTGTGGTGAGTGTCAGTATCATTTTAGACATTTTGTGGTGAGTGTCAGTACCATTTTAGACACTTTGTGGTGAGTGTCAGTATCATTTTAGACATTTTGTGGTGAGTGTCAGTACCATTTTAGACACTTTGTGGTGAATGTCAGTACCATTTTAGACACTTTGTGGTGAATGAGTACCATTTTAGTCAGTACCTTTGTGGTGAGTGTCATTTTAGACACTTTTGGTGAGTCACATTTTAGACATTTTGTGGTGAGTGTCAGTACCATTTTAGACACTTTGTGGTGAGTACTTCACCATTTTTTTCTTCTAGAAGAAAAGCCCTGGATACACCGTTTTTGTGTGTGTCCACATACGTTATACTGGCTGGCATAACAGTCAATAATGTGCCAATATTTTCAGACGAGCAAATGATGCTGCCTATGGAACAGATCTCCGTGCACACGAAGTAAGTGGTATGTGTCAGCTTTACATTATAATTTCATAAAATTTTATAATTGGCAGTTGTCACCCCCCCCCCCCCTTTTTTTTTCCCATCCCAGGGCCTCATTTTTACCTGAAAATAATTAGACCCACTATTCCACTAACAAACATGTAAAAAGCAATTTATTCGGATGTTGCTGAAATAGGATGTGTTGGGCTAATAGGCATATATCACAGCCTAACTATAAACAACACTGTGTGCCTACCACCATCTTAAGAGTAAAGCAAAAGTCATATTTTTAACAAGTTGTTATTGTAGTTAAAGTCCATCCAAATTGAATGATCTTCTTCTTCATCCTCCTCCTCCTGTTGCTGCTGAGTGAAGTATAGAAATTTAACAAAATCACACCATGCCTTTAATTAACTTTCCATTATTGATCGGATTTTTCATATAAAGCTGGTTTATTTAATTTAAAAAAAAATGGAATGTGGTAGCCAACCCTCCTTAGTTGCCCCTTGTGGCATGGCATAGCAGATTATTTTATGTCTGTTCTTTCCTTTTCTTTCGCTCAGGCAACACAGAGAATGTTTGTGTATTATTTGTTAACAACTTTGATGTTTCTATTTATTAAAGGAGAAAGGCTAGTTGCATGTCCTTTGATGGCTTTGTAAACCAACTCCAGCAGGTTTACCAGACAGCTTTACGTTCTATAATTTGTCATAGCCCCTGAACAGTCTACACTCATAGCATTGCTGCCAGAAACAGAGTTCCTAAATCTTTCTTCTGTTTTCCTACTGCTTATGCCATAAAGTGTCGCAGAGAGGAGGTTTTAGGTGTAGTTTACTGTCTTTTGCTAGTTGTGTAGCTATTGTTAGTTATATTGCATTTATGTAGTGTCTCTTTTACTGCATCCACCCATATCTTTCTTGGTGGGCCTCTTGCCTTGTAGCCTGCTATTCTTATATAGTATTCTCTAGCTGCTGGCTGAATATGTTCCATTCTGACCACATGACCAAACCATTTTGATTCTTTTATGTTCTTAAATCTTCTGTAGCTGACTCAGTCTTGGGATATTGAAATCATGAGACTGTTCATAACCCTTAAACCACATGCTTTTGACTCTAATCACAGGTTGTAAATAATATTTCTGTTAACAGATTTCTTGTCAAACATTGACAAGCAAGTAATACAGGATGAGCACAAGGGAGACTTGCAGAAGCAAAACAGAGAGATGGTCTTGGCTAAGAGAGTGTAAGAAATCATCCTTTCCATAACTTTGAGTCCTAGAATGTGTAAGGGGAGGGGGTAACATAGGCAACAAAACCCATTTGTGGGTTCTGGGGCCAAATTGTAGGGAGAAAGATATAGACCCACTCCCATCCTAACAAGTTTATCAAACAATTGAATTAGGGGTTTTTCTTTTGAAGCCAGTAGTCTGCATACAAATACGCCAGATGTGTAAAATGGATGTGCATGCAAAATTCAAGTTCTAGAACAAGACTAAAGTCCAGAAGTGGGCGAACAACCCTTACTTTCTGCTTGAGTTTACAGCAAGTAAACATGAGTAAGAAGATAAGCAGCAAAGCTACAGTTGTGTTAAAAAAAAATTCAATCCAAACATGAGATGGAACTAATGAGCTTCACAATCACCACATATCACAATACCACGTTCACACTTCACAGTAACACAATCACACTTCACAATACCACAGTCACACTTCACAATACCACAGTCACATATCACAGTACCACGGTCACACTTCACAATACCAGTCACTCTTCAGAATACCAGTCACACCTCACAGTATCACAGTCACACCTCACAGTACCACAGTCACACTTCACAGTACCACAGTCACACATCACAGTACCACACATCACAGTACCACACTTCACATTATCACAGTCACACTTCACAGAACCACAGTCACACTTCACAGAACCACAGTCACACATTCACAGTACCACACTTCACCTTATCAGTCACACTTCACAGAACCACAGTCACACTTTACAGAACCACAGTCACACATTCACAGTACCACAGTCACACTTCACAGTACCATAGTTATACTTCTTAGTACCACAATCACATTTCAGAGTCACACTGCACAATCACAGACCAGTCCCACTTCACAATCATAGTACCACAATCACACTTCTCAGTACCACAATCACATGGTATTGTGTTTACTCCACAGCATATTACCTTGAACCCACTTTAGGTTGGGTCCATCTGGGAGCCAAGATCAGTTTGGAAGTAAAATTCTCCTTGATGGGGACTTGAGCCTTAGACTTACAAACCAATGGGCAAGTGTAGACTAAAATTAAAGTGAACTGTTAAAAATACATTTTATGGTGAATTTTTTTTAAATACATCGACAGGCTTGCCTCCGATACTGCTCTTGGGCATGGTCAGGTAGCAACAGACTGCAGAAATTATTGTGGATCTTTAGATACAGTTGGAGGAAATGCCTTTGACCTCTTCTGTGGTTTGTTCCGAGAGCCAATGAGACAGGTGTCACTGGATCCACCTCCTGATCTGTACTATCAACCAGCGTAAGAAATAATTATCTAATTATGTTTCAGTAATACTAATAAATTGCAAATATTTCTTATTGAGTGCCTGGGCAAAGTAGGTGTGGGTAGATTAAATGTTGTGCAAAGTATTTGAAAAGAATTAAACTTCCATTGAATATACAGGTGAGGAAAATTTGCAGGATCTGGACTGACATACATTGGGAAAACTTGATCTTAATTTAACAAGAATGTAATTGCATTGGAACCCACAGAGCCAGGGAAATAAAGGTAGACTGAAAACATAGAGAATGATATTACAGCCATGAATTAATTACGTGAATCCAGCTGTGTATAATGACAAAGAATAGCATGGCTTGGTGTGAGTTGGTTGAGAAACTATGGTTCATTAGAAGATAAAGGCAGAACAGGTAGAAATATTTATAAGGCAGAAATATTTTGAAATTTTTGTTGAAGTTGCTGTTATATACACTGATGTTACTGCGATTAGTCACAAGGGAAGGGCCTGGTTATATACACTGATGTTACTGCGATTAGTCACAAGGGAAGGGCCTGGTTATATACACTGATGTTACTGCGATTAGTCACAAGCGACAGGCCTGGGCTTTCATGGCAAGAACCAAAGGAAAAGTCATCAATGAGGGCAGTGGAGCCTTTGCTTCTACTGCTAGCAGCTTGACAATGAAGATCACGGCTGTGAGAAAGGCCCTAGAATGGCTGAAGACTCAGGAATTCACCAATGCATGTTTGCTCAGGGACGTGAAGGAGCATGCTACAAACGAGCAAAGTGGGGTATACATGAAAACTGAGGATAAATCTGATGCATTTAACAATTTGCAAATGCACATTCATTTTTGTTGCAGGCAGTGCTGTGAAAGGTAATGAAAGAGTAGATACCCTGGCTGGCAGTGGGACTATTACGAATGGGCTATCTGTGGATAGGAGAGACGTCATCAATGCCATAAGAGAGAGTCAACATTGTGAGGCTTTCAGTCTCACGGAAAACCTAATAGACCACGTACGCTGGGTGTACCCATTGGAGCAGCAAGACCAGCGAACCATACAGCAGCCACCTGTTATTACGTGAACAAAAACAGAATGGAAGTTATCAGCCTAAAAACACTTGGAGATATATTCAGGAGGATCTCGGAGCACTTATGGTCATATCTGATGTGTAATGAAAATGATCTTTAAATAAACGATGAATACAAATTGTTTTGGTGATTGATGCTGCTTGCATCAAATTAACTTGTTTTTATCTTTTCTTCAGGACGTTTGTCACAGACAAATCAGCTCCAAACCCGTATAGTTTTATAGATGAAGCGTACAACTTTTATGCCTCCCATAATCCTCTTGATCCTAATTTGAATACAGGTTAGATTTTAGTTGCTTACATTGGAGTGTGTACATGTTCTTATCGTGTACTAACATGCTTTCTATCTTTTGTTGTATCCTCAACCTTTCTTGACTTTCATTTTTGTTTAACGATAGCTTAAATATTTGTAAATCTCGATGATAAATTGGTACTTTATTAATATCCTACCCCAGATGTTGTCACAGGACAGTCCAACATTTTAGAGGGTGGTAAGACTGGGTTTCCCGGCTATCTGATGCTTTTAACGAATCAAAAACATCTATAACTGGCACTAACCCCAACCCACCTATGTCTCACAAGAGATTGCAGCCTAGGTCCCACGACTGCATGCAACCTATCTACCACCCCGTGAAATATTAGACTATCCCATGACCTGTGGATTTCCCCTGTTTAAAGCACCTAAATTTGTCCAAGTCAGTAAGCACTGATTTGAAATCACCAGTCTTTGAAAACAGGCGTCTTGAAAAGATATAAAACCAAACAAAAAGTAGACCAGCGAGCTTCACAATACAGCAAACTGAAAGTGAGTGTGTCTACGGAGCCTTCATCAGCACTCACGTGTACAGACACTAATACACAAATTCACTCAGCTGACATGTTCTTGATAGCAGCCACGTTGTTGTCCAGCCAGTTTAAAAACAGGTTACAAAGATCAGGAGGTGGTCTAGCTACCCCATACATTTTTTTTTTGGGTACTTACCACGTCAGTATGTAAAGTTCTAACACATCACTCATGACAGCAGAAAAGCAAATGCTAACGTGTCTCCGTTAATTCTTTCTGTTCCAACCATCAGTTGGTTCAGCTCTTTCTATAAGGAATTCCTAGTTCAGAGCAGCAAGTGTGTGAGTCTGAAGAAGTAAACATAAAACTACTATCGGACTGAAAGGATCTAAACTAGCAAGTAGGATATTATCAGTTAATGTAATGACTGGCATTATCGAGTTATTGTAACAACTGTGATAATATTATTGAATTATTGTATCAAATGTGACATTATGGAGTTATTGTATCAACTGTGATATTATGGAGTTATTGTATCAACTGTGACATTATGGAGTTATTTATTGTGACATTATCGAGTTATTGTAACAACTACGTGTGTTAGAAAAGACCCAGAGCCCCCTAATAAACAAGTTGTAAGAAGTGACTAATCAACATGTTGCCGAAATCAGTCTTGGTGGGCCTAGCTTTAACTCACAAAATGCCAACAGCTGTGTTAAGGGCGAGCGTGGAAGAAGACATTTCTCTATCCAGCATGACAGATCTGAATTTTTACATCGTTATCTACCAAAATCCCACAGAGGCTTCTTATGTGTTAGGGCATGCACAACACAGAGACAGCTTCATGCAGGCCCGTTTAAATGACGCCAACCCACAGTTGAGGTCTGGTCTCAGAATACCTGGAAGTGGCTGGACGCAAGTGGCTGTCCCACCTAAAGGTAAAGATGAAATTATCAGACTGAGTTCATTTGCTTTGTTGCAGTCTTTTTCTTTTTCTTTGCATTCACCAGCTTTAAACTCTGCGGAAAGTTTTGGTTGTTCGTCCACTCGTGGACTGTAGTCTTGTTCCAGAACTTGAGTTTTGTGTGCATATCAGATTTACAGATCTGGATTATTTAAGTTAGTTCTTTGCCATTCAGGCAGATGCTCTTCAACTTGAAGGAAACCCCGATAATAAGTAGACTGGCTTTTAGAAAAAAAAAATTGAATTCACTGGTTAACCCCTTTGATTGCTAAATTGTATTCTTCTTTTGTCAATATCTACTTATGCCGCTAGGCATCACAGTTCATAAGATGATCGGCAGCTGAGCCAGGGCGGCTCGGTCACTTGATATGCCGTGTTATGTAGTCTCAAGGTGTCAGTGACTCCTTCAGTCCATCTTCTTCTCGGTCTTCCCCTGTCTTTTGGTGTTTTAATTTTCAGGTTGTACATGCTTGATACCGGCATCATTGGTTTCATTCTCATTAAATGGCCAAATCATTTCATTCTGTTTCTCAGTAAATGTGACGATGGGTTTTATTCCAACAGTTCTTGTGATCATCTTGTTTCTTACTCGATCTCAAAATTTTAATAATATATTTAAATCCAGGCTTCTTAAACACAATGCAGGCACAACAGACCTTGCACAGCTGTCTTCTTCAACTATGTGTTTTGAGAACAGGTTGCTGCAGAAACAGTAATATATAAGCATTTACGAAGCTGTATCACAACCACAAGTGCTGAAATTGTTTGGCCTTCTTAGGGTTAATACAATTTTGAAACCGTGCCCACAGAGCTGGCAAGTGTACAAACCACTACTGCACTGTGGCTGATCATAGGTTAACTGCCTATGTTGAAATTTAGAATTTTTTAAATGTTTTTAATTTTTATTTTATCTGCTAATCATCAATAAGCGGTTGATGAGTTATTTAATCACCATTTAAAAAAAATGTATATTATTATGTCTTAAGGAGAGGAAGATGTGTGGGGGAAATGGCACTTCAGCAGTGGAAATGAAGAGAAATCACCCAATGACTACCTGGTTGCCTCTCTGAAGTTGTCAGATCTTATCTGTGATAGCAGCCCTTGTTTGGGAGCTCATATTTGGCATGACAGGTGTGTCTTTTCCCATGAAAAGAGAAATAGTTTTTTTTTCCCATTAATAGTTGTTTTATAGACGAATCAGTGATTTAGGGCAAGCAAAGAGCTAGGCATCCACAATGAGCTCAAGGGAGATAACCATCAAGGAGATAAATGACGTCTTTCCTTTTAGAACTAGTAGACTCACAATGGAGACTGTAGCTGTAACAAGGCAATAGGATGGACAAAAGCAATGTCACCAGTGCCTTGGGCAGGTGGTCTTGAGGTATGGTGTCTGCCTCGAGTGCTAGAGGTTCCGGGTTCAATCCCCAGTAAGGGCTGGAATTTTTTCACATGGACTTGGACTTCCAGTAATTCCCCCTGGTCTCTGGGTAGTGAGATTGGACACCCGTGTGCATTGCTGCGCACGTAAAAAAAATCCCTTTGCAGTTGGAAATAGAAAAGAATAGCCTAACGGCGTTGCCCCGGGAAAATTTGAAGTTAAAAATCTACCCAAAGTATTTCAGGATCCTTGCCGAGGCTACAGAGCCTGTGCACTGTGCTGAGCTTCTTCGGACTCAGACTTGAGTTAGAAGAAGAACTGAGCACTTATGGGTTACACCCGTGTGCCATGATGTTGGTCCGTTGTTCAAAACATCAAGCCTCAGTTACCATAAAAGACGAATACAGCTGAGAGCATGCTCCCATATCACTGTCTAGGCTGATGGACATGGGGGGTGCAACATGGAGCTGCAGGGAAGGAACATTTCACCAAGGGAACAAGATGCTTGATTAATCAACACAGATCAAGCGACTAACTGGGGTCAGTTTCTGACATCCTAGAACGAAAGTTATGTTAAACTAGTCTGGATGTGATAGTTAGTCTAGTTCAAGTGTGACCTCCTAGGAAGTTTGAAAACACTGTGACTGGTCCAGCAGACCGACTGTGGCTTACTTCAGTGGTTGTAGAAAATGAAGAGATCTCATGAACTCCGAAAGGTACTTTATACGAAGTGAACAAGAAGGCCTGTTCCAGAGATCTCTTCCTGCCCTGATGCCACAAGGCATTCCAGAAGTTGAGAAAAGAAGAGGAACAGGCGTTATCAGTCATTTTACACTTGTGGAGGTTTTGAGGAGATGATAATAGCATCTATGGATCTGTGCCTATCTTAAGTTTAACAGGGAGCTTACTGATTGAAGAAACATCATACACATTTAAGAAGTTGAGAAAAGAAGAAGAACAGGCGTTATCAGTCATTTTACACTTGTGGAGGTTTTAAGGAGGTGATAATAGCATCTATGGATCTGTGCTTATCTTAAGTTTAACAGGGAGCTTACTGATTGAAGAAACATCATACACATTTAAGTGATTAGTGAGGATTATCATAGAGAACGTTTGAAACTTTTAATCATGAACCAGATAGGTTATCAGTGTTGCTGAGCTTTCTATGGTTTGTGTTATATTTAGTACTTCCTCTGCCCTGAGCATGCTGATTTGTTAAAGCTCATTGTATGTGTCTGGCTTATTGCGTTTAATATGAGTCTTAAAATTGACTATGATGACCCACCCCTCCTCTCCCCCCTCCCCCCCCCCCCCACATTTCCCCTCCCCTAATCCAGCAATTGTTTTCTTTTAGCTTGAAGATAGGAAGAAAAGCGATGCAAAACACAGTTCCTGGGGAAACTTAACTTGGTACCAGACTGAACTATGAGAAGTGTCCAAACCAGTGTTCTTCAACTTGTGTTATGCAGAAATGTCCCTGTGGTCTGTAAGAAATATCTGCCTAATCATAAAGGGCTGCACGATTCTGGCACTACATTGTTGCATTGCAGTGCAACGTCAGATCTGACAAAGAAACTACCTACTTTTCTTCTAGTTTTCTTACTTTTATTGTTAGCTTTTAGGTGGTGATGAAATAGTTTCCCTTGTATTGCCAGTCCGTGAATATAAAAAAAGGCTGAAAAACACATAAAAAAAGGCTGAAAAACACTACTCAAGATCAATCTCATGCCCGTAGATAGGACACTATTTTCCAATGTGGGTTCTAGGGCTCCATTGTAGACCCACTGCCCCCTAACAAGCATTTCATGAGTCAACTATTTAGGGATGTTTCCTTCACAGTTGGAGTGTGTTTGAGTGACGAAGAACATAGAAAAAAATAGCCAGATCTGTAAAACAGATGTGCACGCAAAACTCAGGTTCTGGAACAAGACTAAAGTCAAGAATTAAATGAATGACCAAACCTTTCCTCTAGAGTTTACAACTGGTGAAAGCGGAGAATTGTTAATTTTAATGTCAAATCAGTACTTTTGTATGGGGCGGAAGCATGGAGAACAAATAAGACAATTACTAATAAACTACAGACATTCGTTAACAGGTGCCTGCAATTAAATGGTATGATAGAATCACTAATGTTTAGCTTTGGGAGAGAACTTAGCAAGCTTCAGTGGACCAAGAGGTGAAGAAAGGGCGCTGGCATTGGATAGAACACACATTTAGAAAACCGGAGAACACTATAACTAGAATGTCTTTGCATTGGAACCCACAGGGGCATAGGAATAAAGGAAGGCCAAAAACACATGGAGAAGGGAGCTGGAGAATGAAGTCAGAAAGATGGGGAGGACATGGGGAGAGCTGCATGCGATAGCAAAAGAGAACGACTTGGCGTGAGTTGGTTGAGGGCCTATGCTCCATTGGGATCTAGAAAGACAGAAGAAGAAGAAGAAAGCAAAGAAAAAAACACTATTATAGGGCTCAAATGACCTGAACTTGTATGCCTCAGACCGTAGAGTAGAAACTCCTTTCAAAGAATTCATCAACCAAACTGTCTGACTGCTGTCATTTCAATCCCTTCAGGAAATACTCAGCTCCAGGGGCTAGCATAGAATGTGCTTCAAATGCAGACCAAAAACAAAATCTGCTTCATCCACAAGCTTCTTATCAAGACGAGCTGGGCAAGCAGTTACTAGAGAAGAGCCAGAAAACTGTTGGCACCACTGATGCTCTGTCAAAGTAAGAGACACTATTGTTGTTAAATCATCGGGTAATATTTTACTAGGGAGCTGACGTGGCATAGCAGCTAGACCAGGGCTATTCAGCCACATTTACTGGGGCCAACATTTTGAAAATTGGGTTCGTCAGAGGCCTGAACCCTAGGATATAAAAATGATTAAAACAATATAACTAGCGATGATCCGCAGGCACTTGCTAGGCCTGCGCAAGCCAGATTTGGCATGATGGTTGCCATATGAATAGCCCTGAGCTAGATGCTTGCCTGCCAGCCCGAGGTCTTGAGTTTGAATCTGTATCCGTAATATATGGATATGGATGGCAAGGGCTAGACCTATATTTTATAAACCCTGCCACACTTGATGGGTAATGCCTGAGAACATCAAGCCAGCCACCTTTTTTTCCCAGGACTATCCTGGTACCTATTTATTTAGGGTTGATCTAGGAGACAAGGTCATTTATTTTAAAATATTCCTACTTGATGCAAATTTGAGCCCACAACCTTCAGGCACTATGCGAGCAAAGGCAACTCCTACATACTTTCTTTGAGTTCCCCATTTTTTAATTCTTTTTTTTTTAATAGCTCTCAGAGCATGAGCAGAATAATTTCCTCTGTATTGTCGGGTGTATAAATATTGAATAACACTGCCCAAGACCAACCACATGCCAATAGATACAACACTTTTCATTGTTTCGTTAAATGAAAGTTTCATTTTAACCATGGTTGGTGGCCGGTCAGGTTGCTAGAATGCTATGCACTGTCTGCTAGATCTAGGTTTGAATCCTTGCTGAGGTGGCTGAAGTATTTTTTTTTTGGGCGGGAGGAAAAATAAACATCCAAACCTGGATGTTCCTGTCCTGATTGAAGACCCTCTTTTCCTGCACTGCCCTAAAAAATGGTAAATAGGTTGTAAAGACAATTTTTATTTTGGGTCATATTAACCTTGTAATAAACTGTAAACAGTAATTTACTGGGGCCTGTGCACAATACAGGGAATTAAATTTTATGGTAGAATCACTGATGTTGAGCTTCTGGAGAGAACTAAAATTCAAGAGAATTAACAAGTGAAGAAAAGTTACTGGCTTTGGATAGGACACACACTGAGAGAATCTGAGAACAGTGTAATCAGAATGTGTTTGTACTGGAACCTGCCTGGACATAGAAATAAAGGCAGAACCAAAAAAAAAAACACAGGAAAAAGGGAGCTAGAGAAAGAAATTAACAAGATATGGAGAACATGGGGCGAGCTATGTGCAGTAGCAGTGAATATGACGGCTTGGGGTAAATTGATTGAGGGATATAAAAGGCAGAAGTACTATGTGATGACAACAGACTGATTTGGGGTTAACGTTGTTTGTTCTTCAGGTGTAACCTTAAACTTCAGGGGGAAGTAAATGAATGCCATGCAGGTAGAGGTAGTGATGCTCATTGTAAAGCTCACCATGACCTGGCAGATACAGCATCTGTTGCTGAGAGAGATCACTTTACACAAACATTAGGCGGAGACAAGACATATAGCCGTGGGGGCTATGGTATTTTTGGTGTACCAATGGTGAGTTTCCTTGAGTTGTCATTTTTTTTTTTCACACTTCATTTTCAATTAAAGCAGAGGTTCTGAACCAACACATGTTGAGGTGTCCTGTATTTTGTAAAGAACCCTTTTCCACGCCTTTAGGCATATAGGGCTAGACCTATATTTTATAGACCAACGGCACAAGATGGGTGATGCGGTCAAGATCACGCCGGCCGCCTCTACTTCCCGGGACTGCACCCGGTACCCACTCAAGGCTGGGTCGACCTGGGAGCCAAAGTAATTTTTGAAGAAAAGACCGGCTCCACCAGGGAGCGAACCCACGACCTTCCGATCCGCGGCGCGTGTCTAGCCGCTCTGCCACGGCGACTCCCCCTGTATTTTGTGATCTCCTGCAATTGCATCTATGTTCTTCCTAGATATTTCATCTTTATTTCTTTCGCTTCTTTATGATTTATAGTCTTCTGATGTTCCATTATTTTGCTTAGCTTATGTGTGGAAGGTTCTCATGTTGCATTATTCTGCTTAACTTATATGTGGAAGGTTCTGATGTTCCATTATTTTGCTTAACTTATGTGTTTAAGGTTCTCATGTTGCATTATTCTGCTTAACTTGTGTGTGGAAGATTCTCCTGTTGCATTATTGTGCTTGTGTGTGGAAGGTTCTGATGTTGCATTATTTTGCTTAACTTATATGTGGAAGGTTATCATTTTGCATTATTCTGCTTAACTTGTGCGTGAGAGCGGTTAGACATGGACGTGTGAGGCTGAAGACATTCAGAGACGTGATAGATTGTATTTTGTTAGGAACTGAAAGATAGTTTCTGATAGCGTTGTCGTCATATGTGTTGGTTAACTGTTGGTATTCCTCGTGTGCTTATAGTATGCTAAGACAGTTGGGTTGGTGTTGTATCGTGCTTATGTAGGTGTCCTTGTCCATGGGTTATTAGGCCCGCTAATCCCTGAACCACTCACCTTGCGTGTGCTACTGAGTCTCGCATGGCGAGTACTGCAGCCTAGTTAGCACTGTACAACAGGAGGTGGAATCGTGTCCTCTGGTACATCCATGGGAATGGCTCGGGGTAGATAAGTAAATATAAATGCTACCACCACCAGCATTTCGGATAAAGGACTGTCCACAACTGTTGAAGTTGTTTTAGGTTAAAGTCTCTTTATGCATTAAAGATTATGTGTGTACTCAATAGGTGTGTGTTTTAAGTGTGTTCTAGTATAGTGTGCCTGTCACAGGGCCGTACAACGAGCTGTAGTTAGGTAATATAGATACAAGGTCCTTGACACTTGTGTGTGAGGTTTTCATGTTGCATTTTTTCTACTTAACCTGTGTGAGAGGTTTTCATGTTGCATTTTTTCTATTTAACCTCTCCGAGAGGTTTTCATGTTGCATTTTTTCTACTTAACCTCTGTGAGAGGTTTTCATGTTGCATTTTTTCTACTTAACCTCTTAGAGAGGTTTTCATGTTGCATTTTTTCTACTTAACCTCTCTGAGAGGTTTTCATGTTGCATTTTTTCTACTTAACCTCTCTGAGAGGTTTTCATAGTGCATTTTTTCTATTTAACCTCTGTGAGAGGTTCTCCTGTTGCATTACTCTACTTGACCTGTGTGAGAGGTTTTCATGTTGCATTATTCTACTTGACCTGTGTGAGAGGTTTTCATGTTGTATTATTTTGCTTAACCTGTGTGAGAGGTTTTCATGTTGCATTTTTTCTACTTAACCTGTGTGAGAGGTTTTCATGTTGCATTTTTTCTACTTAACCTGTGTGAGAGGTTTTCATGTTGCATTTTTTCTACTTAACCTCTGTGGGAGGTTTTCATGTTGCATTACTCTGCTTAGCCTCTGTGAGAGGTTCTCCTGTTGCATTACTCTACTTGACCTGTGTGAGAGGTTTTCATGTTGCATTACTCTGCTTAGCCTCTGTGAGAGGTTTTCATGTTGCATTATTCTACTTGACCTGTGTGAGAGGTTTTCATGTTGCATTATTCTACTTGAACTATGTGAGAGGTTTTCATGTTGTATTATTTTGCTTAACCTGTGTGTGAGGTTTTCATGTTGCATTTTTTTCTACTTAACCTGTGTAAGAGGTTCTCATGTTGCTTTACTCTGCTCAATTATGTGTGAAGCTCTCTTATTATATGAGTTGTGGGTGTTGTTCTCACATTGGAGTATTTTTGCAAACATTTGTTAAAGATCTCATCTAATTTCAACAGACTGATGCTCAGAAAATACAAGCAGAAAAATACATGGCAGATTTGAAGAAGCAAGTGAGGAAAACATGCTTATGTGTTAATTGTACTGTAAGATAAGTTCTATCTGTGATACTTTGTATTGAGTTGAATAACTGGTCATTTTGTTTTATGTAAGCTAAAAATATATAGTTAAGATTTTTTACTAACAACTTACATACAGCATTATAGTTCCTGTCTACCTGAGTAAGTTTTGGAGCCCTGTATTTGGGGGGGGGGGGGGAATTAATGAGTAGTTGGCTGAAGAATGCAGATATTGCAGCCTAGCTGTTAACCGCAGTACAGAATGCTTTGGGGGGGGGGGGGGGGGTGGTTTAATGGTCTCGAGACATGGCATCTGCCTCAAGTGCTTGAGGTCCTGGGTTCAGAGCTCCGTGAAGGCTAGGATTTTTTTCACATGGACTTCTAGTAATTTCCCCTGGTTTCTGGGTAGTAAGTTCAGATGCCTGTGTGGATTTTTGCGCACATAAAAAAATTCCTTGGCAGTTGGAAATCGAAAAGAGTAGTCTGGCGGTGCTGCCCAGGAGAAATCTGGAGTTAAAATTCTGCCGAAGTATTTGAGCATCCTCCCCGGTGCTACGGAGTTCGTACACTGCACTGAGATTCTTCAGACTCAGGAGTTAGAAGTAGAAGGGAGCAATTATGGGTACTACTCTTGTGCCATGATGTTGATCGTTGTAAAAACCAAACCAAACAGCGTGACCTTCAACAGCAGGTGCCGAAAGAAAATAAACACCCATACTGACATTTAACCGGAACTGCATTGAAAAATGGCCTTTCAAACGCCCTCATTATGTCAGAAAGTCACACAGTAGAAGATAAGTTCATTAAAATATAACTGACCTCTTTGTTATCTCAGTACATTTATAAGTTCTTCTTTGTATCAAAAAATGGTGAATATACTTGAGATAAGTGAAGACCATAAATGGGTTAGAGAAATCAGACATAAACAGTCAGCATTTTATGTTACGAGAAATAAAAAAAATTAGTTGACAAATTCTTGACAAGATGTCGCAGAACCAAGTTGGCATCTGTGGATTAGATGTTGCGAATGCTCTTCACAATGCCGGGGTGCCATGTTCGATCCCAGCTGTGCTGTAAAGGATGCGCAACTAACTAATGCTGTGAGAAGGAATGGACTTTAGAACTTGTAGATGGCCGTCTATATCAGTAGACAATTAAATATAAAGGCATATTCTTCCCACACACACCCCCCCCCCCCCCCCAACACCACCACATCCCTTTCCCAAAACCTAGACAGGGGAAATTAAGCCAAGCCATCCTGTCATTCACTATCTCCTTCAGCGTCCTCCTTATCAGCTTCACTTTATTTACCTGTTTCCAACTGTCTTTAAAAAAAAACTTTTAGGTCTCTCTCCCTCTCTGTCTGGTTTGTCTTACGGATTCAACACAATAGCGTATGTTTTGTGTCTTTCTTAATTTTATATTTTAACCAGCACAGATAGAAGAAAAACAGGCTGCAGAAAACAAGAAGAGGGAGCTGCAAAGATTAGAAGAAGAGAGAGAACAGAAAATTTTAAACGAACAAAGAATTCAGATGCAGAAAGAATATGAGGAAGAGCAAAGAAGGATCAAAGAGAAGGCAGAAGAGGTGAGTTCATAGTTTCACAAGAATTATTTTCCATATTAAATGAACATTCTAGTAGCACCTCCTGTGTTTGCCCTTTAAAAAAAATAAAGGCAGTTGGCATGTTATGTTGTGGTTTAAAACAAAGCTGCAGTTTCTGTGCCTTTATGCTCAACAAAGCCTAATTTCTGCAAATCTGTATTAAATTTTATCTTTTATGACATGCTTGCTATGGGGCAGAAATTATTATCCCCCCCCCCCCCCCCCCCCAACCACCCATTGTTATATTTTGTGCCTACCTGCTTCATCATTAAAAAGCCTATAATATTTAACACATTCAGCGACTGTAAACTCCAACAATTGTTATGTTTTTCAACCACTTATGGGTGTTAGTCTTGTTCCAGTGCCGGAGTTTTGCATGCACATCCATTTTACAGATCTGGCTTATTTGTATGCAGACTGTTGGTTCCTCCCCTCTGAGGCAAATGTACTATGACTTTAAAGGAACTCTCATTTGTCGACTGTTACGACATGCTTGTTAGGGAGCAGGAGGTCTGTGTATTGTCAGTTCATGAATGTAAAATTGCAAATTAAAACCACATGCCAGACATGAAATGCTGAGGTTGATTGCTGTCATCCGGAAGTGGACACACATGTGATTATAATGGCTTATAACTGCACCTATCTTGATTTGTTGAAAGATTAAAGTGATTGTTTCCCCTTTCATGACATGTCAGCAATGGAGATTTGTAAAATTAGGATTAGAATATTCAGTCAGAAGACTCAAGTTTTTTTTTTAGTTTTGATGTCACAGCGTGTGTGGTGTGTACATTTTAAAGAGGGGATAGAAGAAGAAGAGAAGATATAAAAGTAGAGAAAGAGATAGACGAGAAGAAATAATAGTTAAAGGATGTATAAGAGGACAATAGGTTCTCCTGTGTGGAGAGTGTAGTAATGAGTCTACACCCCAAACGATCAGGTAATAGTCAGTGGAGGTCTTATGAAGGAGAGAGAGTAGATATAGAGTGGAGTGGTGGTGGTATAAAGACTACAGAGACTAACAATAATAGTACCACTCCTATACTCAACAAACTAACGATTGAATAAAAGAATAACAACTAACAATCATGTTTATTAAGAAACAGCATTACAAAGTCGTCTATCTCATGTTACACAACCGACAGATGTTATATTATGTTATAAACAGAACGTCCTCACACTATAAAACTCAGCAACTGACAGCAGAATCCACCCAACGATAAACTAGCAAATGACGCCTAGAATATTCTTCATTGCTCTACACATAATAAGCCACATAACGCCTACAATCTAGCCATCTGTTCTCTTTCCAAACACCGACTACCATCTAACCATACTGCTGATTGCAGTCCAAAGACCAGCAAACCAATAGCCAAATACCGACTACCATCTAGCCATACTGCTGCCTGCAGTCTAGATACCATCTACCAGCCAACCCGGCACACCATGACAGAAGCTGCCATGTCACCTGTTAAACATATTCAAACAATCTATAAGTTCACCTTACCAAGCATATAAATGTGAACGTAACAACATACATCTTATTCTACCCTGCAAACAACTGCCTTTCTTCATACGAATAGTTCTCCCTTTAAACAGGCATTCTTATACCCTTGAATAAACCTCCATCCACTAACTCACATGTACTTCTTATTCAAAACATATTACTATGTATAACCATACATGCACTATTTACTTTTACCACATGAATGCCCATGCATTTCCTCTTCAACGACAACAATCTGGCTACAGACATGGCCTTGCATCCCCCACTCACTTCAACATCTGATACTTCTGTCCCGCCCCTTTACAGGTAAATTCTATTATATCCGTGTGCTGCCTTCTCAGCAGCTTGCCGAGGACAGTTCAAGCTAAATGACTTTCACTTTCCCATATCTTCTTATATCATTCTCTCTTCAAATCACAACTAAATGCTTACAACATTATAACTGCATCATGTTAATACATATGGCGTTATCATTCCCTAGCAGCGCCAACTCTGATGTTCAATATGATATTTCACACGTCATGCTTATCTGTTATCATGACCATCACCATCATGTGCTGTGCCGGTCTTCCAGTAGTTATTATATCTTCTAACAGAAGCCTACATTCTTCATTACAACCATGACACCATAACTATACATTCACAATTATACATTTTATGACATCAGTGCCCGCTGCTTTTCCCCTGTATCACAATCAAAACATCGCAGACACAGTCTGGCCGTTAGAAAGGGTCATTCTAGGGCCACCTGTTCATTCACCAAACCACTCTCTCTCTCTACCTGTGAAATACGATATTGGGCCTCTGACCTAAATAAGAGGGCAGCCCCCGTATGCTGCATGCTCAGAACGTTTCTCGTTTTATAACTTTCCTTTCCTCCAATGTTCCAAGATGTCTGCTCCAAGAAATCATTATAATATACATATTGATACTCATACTTTGCATTAATACACTTGGTTCTGTCAACATAGCATTTGCTATGTCTCAGGTGTCCAGTTAAATGACTCGCAAGATCCAGTTAATGCATATCAGAGCAATCATCATCATCATGTGTCCTACCAATAACCCAAGATGCGCTAACCGCTATTATCATACTGTATCTTATCTAATTACTTAACATGAACACAGTACTACTTACATAACATGAAGCAATATTTCGTGCATTATCTGGCAATTCACACAACAGAAGTATGGACTTAGCTCCATCGTATCGACATCATCCGAATGCCCACAGCATCCTTCGTTGGCAGAGATCTCAGCGCAAGTGTCTCTATCAGGGCTTCCAGTAGTGTATTTACCCCTGACGCTACCCCTCTCCTTTGTCCCTGAGTTCATGAAACTTTGTCTTCTAAGGTTCATGAACCTTTCTCTTTCCCGCCAAAGATGGTATTCCAAGCCACTTTGCATATTTGGATGGAAAATCCCCAGGAAATCTTGTGCCGCTGCCTTTGTTCGTTGTCTTCCCTCTGTTAATTTACGAGTATATTGGCCTGCAACAGTTCATGAACAAGCTTGGCATGCACCCACGTCTTTGTCCACTCTTGAGTCAATGCCCTCAGGGTTGTTAGACTAGCGACCCTCTTTATCTCAAGCGACTCTATACCTCCTTATTCCTCCGTGTGTTTCTTTCTTTCTATTTCCTTCTTGTAAAAAAAAACGTGACTGTAATCAGTACTGTCACATTGATCTGTCATGCCATTGTAAGGAAGTTGTAGCGAAAGTGTGTGCCTGCTAGCCCTGTGGTGACAAGTTGGCCCAGGCTAAAATGAGCACCTAGAATTGTTCTAAGAAGTGGATTCGGGTCCTGATGGAGATGTTTTTTTTTTTTAATGACCTTGGCTGTCAGGTTCATCCAGCCTTGCGTTGGTACCAGGTAGGTCCTAGGAAGTAAAGGTGGCTGGCTTGATGCTGACCACATCACCCACCCAGTGCCGATTGGTCTGTAAGATATAGGTCTAGCCCTATATGCCCAATACGTCTGAAGGTGTGGAAAAGGGTCCATTACTTTTTGCTTACAAGATTTACATGCTATTAGGAATTACCTGTTGTTTTGCTTTACTTGGTGTATGAAGAGTCAAATTTGCAGATGTGTACTCTTCTTTATTCTCTAAGCTTGACTTTTTCCTTGTCTTTAGGCAAAACAAAAAAATGAGGAAATTATCAGAGCAGCAGAAGAGAGGAAAAGAGAGACTGTCAGGAAGGACCGAGAAGCTGAAAAGGAGAGAGAAGAAAAACAAGAAGAGAGAGATGTAGAACTGAAAGAAAGACAGAAGGTGTGATTGTGATGTTTTTGTTTTCATCGTAGTGTAGCATGTTTCAGCTTTCTTGTTCTTGTATTTCTGGCATGGCTGTATCTTAGCAAATGATTTTATTAGCATGCATAGTATCCACCTTTATTATGAAGGTGGAAGCAGAATACCAGTCTTTTCGAACCAATGAACTTAGGGGGAAAAAAGGCTCCTGGCGCTTAGCAAATTCCAGGCAAAAAATCCTGGGGGGAAAACAGTTTACACCGGTCACAGAAAAATTATAACAAGTCCATTTATGACCAAAACAGTATTAAACTCGATACAGAATAAAGGGAGTCATCAGTAAACACAAATGCAGCAGAGAATTAACTGGGTCACATCTCTGAGACTGAAAATAAATTATGGTGATTAATTTGTTTCCTTCTGGACCTGGTCGCAGGTTAACTGTGTGACTAATGTGAAAACTGTGATGTCATAACTTCTATTAATGAAGCTTTGTTTCAGAGGAAAACTAAATGCTATTATTTTTTAGTAACCACATGTGTGGTCCTGAATTTGTGATAGGTGCAAGCGATAACAGTACTATTAGCTGGGTGTCTCCTGAGCCGGCCACTGTAGCCAAGTTAGAATAGTGACTCTCTCAGGAAATTGGAGGGCTCAAAGACAATGTATCAGAAAAAGGCAGTCATCATTTTGTTTGGTCATGTTATGAGAAGAGGGAAAGTGGAACATGTTGTGACCACTGGAAAAAGCTGTGGAAGGAGAGACAGCGCAAGAAGATTCTTGACAGCTTTTTGTCATAGCGTGGGATGGGGAGTCAACTCATGAATTGATGCGTGCAGTTACAGATGGCTGATTGCAAAGATGCATGATTGCCCACATCAGTCAGCAAGGCACATAATGATGATAAGACCTTGGAGCCAAGGTCAATTTTGACCCCCAAAAAATCCGACAGGATATCGGTTTGATCCCAAGACCTTTATGTCAGCAGGCCAGAATTTAACTACTAACCCACTGCAGATTTATCATACAAAAAAATCATTTTTTTTTTTCGTGTGCATACTTTCAGGAGGAGGAGACTAGGAGTGTGGCCAAGTCTCCACTCATCCCAACCCTCAGAGATAAGAAGGTTAAAGAGGATGTGCCATTGGTAAACTTCTCTAATCTGTTGGTGATTGCTTAATTAACTCTGTCAATTCATGATATATTACTCACTATTCTTTGCCTTGTGGGTTCCGGGGCCCTCTCGTAGGGAAAATAAGAACAGACCTGCTGCCTGCCCAAAAGCATATCATAAGAGTCAACTAATTGGGAGTTTCCTTCGAAGTCGGAGTGCATCTGCCTGAGAGGCAAGGAACCAACAGTCTGCATACAAATAAGTAAGATCTGTCAAACAGATGCACACGTAATACTCAAGTTCTGGAACTGCAGTCCAGAAGTGGACGAACAACCATAACTAAGTTTACAGCTCGTGAACTTAAAAAAGAAGACATCTCCCCTTCCCCCCCCCCCCCCCCCCCATGTCTCAAACATCAGTCTTCTTATATTTAAGTTGTGGTCAGGGTATACTATATTTGGCAACGTCAGAAGGTCAATCTTTAAGTCATTTTTCATTCCTTCAACACAGCTAATGGCAGTATAAAATGAAAAAACAAAAATTATGATGTTTATACAAAGCTTTATGAGACCAAAAGAGTTAACAAACACTTTATAACTTCTCATATCACATTGGTCTCACAGTCTGTTGTGTCATTCCATTCAGTTCTCTGGAGTCTTGAAAAAGAGGTTGTATCCGTTAGTGCGAGGTTCATGCCAGACTAAAACAGAAACTTCCTATCTGCAGAGATGGTTATCACTCTGCATCTTGTTGTGCCGGGAACCACCATGGTGTAGTGCCTAGACGCCCGCCTGAGAATCGGATGGTCCTGGTTTCAGGTCATGATGGAGCCGGACTTTTTTTTTTTTCTTTTTTCAAAAATGGCTGGGAACTGAAGGTGGCCAGTGTGATGCTGATCACATCGCCCACCAAGTGGCAATTGGTCTATAAAATATAGGCCTAGCCCTATGTGCCCAGTACACCTGCAGATGTGGAAAAAAAGTCCTTTACTTTACTTATCTTGTTTTGTCATTCCATGCCACATAGGGCTTACAGTCTGGTCTTCCATTCTGTTCTTCTCTGTGTACTCCTTTTAATATGGGTGGAATCAACATCAACATTAATCATCAACATTAATCTTAGTGTTTCTCAATCCTATCCTTGTTTCCTCCGTCTATTTGTTTCCCATTTCAGCACCTGTTTGGTGATTCTCTGTCCAGTTCTCAGGATGTACCCAATGTATCACCGTCTTATTTGTCTTGTAACTTGGTACCAGCTGTTATCCACACATTTCTCCTATTTCTTCCCTTCTGTTGAATTCATTCCATTTAATTTCATAACTGATCATATAACTTATCTGTGGCTAAGGTGTTGCAAACATGCTTTGTAAATGCGGGGCTGTCGAGTTCAATCCCAGCTGCAGACTATTTGGCAGCAGACTGCCTTGCGTTGGTTTCAACTGAGTATCAAGAGCCGACCGTTCAGAAAGGAGTAGTAAACTACTGACCGTAAATTTGCCTGAAAAGACCACAGCAGCCAAAAAATGCTGGGTTTGGTTCTGCAATGTCCTGTAAAGGACACAACGTCATAAATCATTTTTTTTTAATCTTATGATATAATTTGACATAATTACATAGTTTAAGGATGGGAGGAAAATGGTTTCATTTGTTTTCAAAGAGAGGCCAGCTTTTCAGGTACTTGTGGGAATAGAACAGTATTTTCAAGTAAATTAGTCTCTGAAAGTATGAGTTATATGTTGTTTGTCCATCACGAGTGATGAAGACCACTTTCATCCAAAGAAGTAATGATCAATGATTATGAGTACGAAGGTGGCTGATTAGTCCAGTATGAGCCTGGAAAGTTCTTGAGCAGTGCGGACAACAGACGAAAGCCGCAGTAAGTGAGGGATTAGCAGTACGATTCTTTCTAGTCTGAGTTATATACCCTGTGCTTCACTGGAGTAAAAATGGGGTCATTGACTGAAATGTGTATTTGTCTAACTTTCAGGGGAAAGCCAATCTGTTGACTTCAACAGCTGCTGATGAGGTTTCTCCAGCCCCTGCATCTGAAAGTTGCTCCACAGATGATTGTGTAAGTAATGTTGCCTGCAAGACTGAGGAGGTATTGGCACCTTTTTATCTTTCCAAGCGATAATGTCCTGTTGTGCTGTAGAAGTGGTCTCCAGCCATTTTCAGGTATTGCTTGCCTTAAGTATATGGCAAGTAACCCCCCCCCCCCCCATACCACCACTAATCCCAACATAACAAAATGGGATTAAAAAGAGGACAAAAAAGAAAATCCTAAGCACTTAACAAGAACTTGGAGAAAAACAACATAAAAACAGTGTCGAATAACACAAGAAACAATCACCAAAAATTAGTAGTTTACTGTCCTAATATTGGCGTGATGGATGACACTGTTTTGTCTTGATGATATCTGCTGTGTTTGGTTTGATGTTGGACAAGACACAATGGAGATCACTCCCCACATTAGGCAGGCAACGGTGTTTTGTTTTCATGGCTGTTAAAGCTGAAAATTTGGATTATTACACCTACAGATGAGGTCAAAGTTCTTTGACGCCCCTGATACATGCCCTCCCGCTGATTGCACCCCCCACACACACACACGCGTGCGCGCACGTGCGTACACATTTTTCCAGGTTGGAGAGTACTGTGCTATACGGAAGTATGAGAGACACCCCATGACGATACTAGTTCAGGAAAGCAGTGCAGATAAATACCTGGTGGGGGGGGGGGGGGGGAACCAGTGAGGTCTACAGTCTCCTGCTCTACACCTTCCAATAAAACATGGGTTTTCAACATACTTCCACCAAGCCCTTCGAAGATTTCTTTCCTGCACTCAGAGAACAGAGAACAGTCAGAAACCAAACCGAGACCTGTAGAAAGCAAGGCAAACAGCTCAACCCCTTTGCCACGGTAAACCCCTCCACATGCCGATTTCTTTAGTGTCGTTGTTTTCCTGTATGTGTGTGTGTATATGTGTTGTCTCTGCAATTGAGGTTGAGCACAGTGCATCTGCTGCTGTCTTTGAGAATTTATTCGGTGAGGTTCCGATCTCGTCTCTGGTGTGGTACTAGTATCTGATAGCCAGAGGGACAGTTTTTTTTCCCCCAGCTATAAATTGAAGCCTAGTACCACGTCACCCATCTAGTGCCAGCTAGTACCACATCACCCATCTAGTGCTAGCTGGTACTACGTCACCCATCTAGTGCTAGCTGGTACCACATCACCCATCTAGTGCCAGCTGGTACCACGTCACCCATCTAGTGCCAGCTGGTACCACGTCACCCATCTAGTGCCAGTTAGTACCACGTCACCCATCTAGTGCCAGTTAGTACCACGTCACCCATCTAGTGCCAGTTAGTACCACGTCACCCATCTAGTGCCAGTTAGTACCACGTCACCCATCTAGTGCCAGCTGGTGCCACGTCACCCATCTAGTGCCAGCTGGTACCACGTCACCCATCTAGTGCCAGTTAGTACCACGTCACCCATCTAGTGCCAGCTGGTACCACGTCACCCATCTAGTGCCAGTTAGTACCACGTCACCCATCTAGTGCCAGCTGGTACCACGTCACTCATCTAGTGCCAGTTAGTACCACGTCACCCATCTAGTGCCAGTTGGTTTTTGAAAATATGAGTCTAGCATTATATGCCCAATGTGCCACTTGTGTAAATAACAGCTTTTACTTATGATACTGAAGATGTGGAGTGTAGCATTGATGAGAATACCCCAGAGTCCTCTATTTTCAGTTGTTAACTCAGTGCAGCTCCCACATGGACTGGGATATGTAAAGACAATTGTTGTCTAATTATTTCAAGTGCTGCATTTTTTTAAAGTAGTGTTAGGGAAGTACAATTGTTGCCTGATAGTTAGTCTGTGGCTGTCTTTTGGTATGATTCTATGGTTTGTTTTCTACCCCATTTTAGAGCAAGCAAGACAACATACGTGACACAAACAGTAAGTTCACCTGTGCTACAGTATGTATAGATTTCAACACTAGGGTAGCTAGGTACCTCATTTTTCCCGGTTCCTCCATTTATTTATTTTTTCCAAACAAATTGTTTTCCTGTGGAGTAAGTTTAGTATGCTGATTTTGTTTATTTTATAGTCTGTTAGTAATGGAAAATGTTGTAAACATACAATGAGTCGTCACTCCATTTTCTTTTCTCCAAAATCTGGCAACCTTGTTCAGAATACATTATAGTTACCATCATCATGATCTTCGTAACTGTAGGCATAAGATAAGGAGCTGCAATAGTGTAGTGGCTTGTTACTCACCTGCCAGCCCAACAATTTAGTCAAGTCAAGATTGTTTTTATTTTTCAACTTGACAAATCTCTCAGATGGACCCAGCCTAGAATAGGTACCAGGCAATGTCCTGGGAAGTAAAGGCAGACAACGTGATGTTGGGCACATCACCCTTATAGTGCCAGTTGGTTTATACAAGATGATTCTAGTATCGTATACCTGAAGTTCCGCTGGTGTAAAAAAAAAAGGTCCTTTTTTTAAGTTACCTTTCACAATGTGAGTATAGTAACCACATTCATTTATCTTAGTTCAGTTATCCTGTAAGTCAAGTTTCCATACATTTCTCAATGTATATGTTGCCTTTATACATTACTTGCTCTATCTGTCTTTATTTCTAACATCCTTGATCCTCCCAGTTGTCACAACTTTCTCTAGACCACCCCCCCCCCCCCCCCCTCCCCTTCCCCTTTCCCTTTACCATAATATGGCCCCAGAAATGAAAATGTTCCTTTCCTGATGTGAGTAGCCATCAGAATCTAAACTGGCATTATGCAACATGCAATTTTGAATGTTAGTCTTTTGTTTAGCTGCAAGATATAACAAAACAAAACACACACAAAAGCTTGGGAAAGATGGGAAACAAAGGGATGGAAGAATAGTTTAGAGCAGAGCTATTCAACTGTATGACAAATCTGGCCTCCCAAAAAAGCATATCTGTGTAGCTTTCAGTTTCTTTATGATCTTTATCTCTGCCAAGAAACTAATACCTTGATCTGTGACTCAAAGGCTCAACTGGGCGTACAGTTCAGTGGATTAATTTCTCGCTATTGCCTTGACTGCAGTCACCACTGTTTTAAAACCAAATCCATACTAATAACGACCATACAGTTTAAGTTCTCAGAGAACGTTTCAGCTCTACATTGGGGAGACAAGTGGAAAATGTAACTGAGCACAAGGCACTGGGGTTGGTAATTGGTGCAAATCTAACCTTCAGCTCTCATGTAGACTGTCATGAAGTGAACAGCCAACCCTAAACGATGGACGAGTCGTGAATCTGACTTCCCTAAGTGGGCAGTCACATTTCAAACTTAAACCCGTCCGGAGGGGTATATAGTCCCTTATATTGATATATACCTTTATCTGGTAAAATATTCATTTCTAGACCCTCTAGTTGCTTTGATAAATCCTTATTTTCAAACTTGCAACTGTAGATTGAAGATTTCTAGTGTTTACTTCAGAAATTCCTGTAAGCCGGTTTACTCCTTAGGCATGAAGACAGGGGACTTCTTTCCTAGAGACGCCGAGTTTAGATTTGAGCGGCATTCTCTCGCCTGATTCCTAAGTGTCAAGACGTGTATACAGTCTATGTAGACAATTGCCGCATTCAAAGTACCAGTTCTATATGGGAAGAATTCCTAAGCTTGGGTAAGTTGATTATAGTTTACGAGTACCATAATATATGTCTTTTTAAAGTTAGCCACTGCTGCAGAGAGGGAAGATTCAGATGTATGATCTCACAGAGTTGGGCCGTTCTTGATGTCCAGAGATCAGGCTCCGAACATTAAACCTTTCCCTGTGCAGACTAAATAGTTTGTGCTCTACATAACCCACACCATTTGTAAAGATATTAAACCCTACAAGTAATTATTCTCTGACCAGACAAACGAAGTTTTGTGCCTCCTAGCAGAGATCTGGACACTGTTATCTTTTAAGTTAACTGCTGTGACCTCAGAGTTAGACGCTCTGAGTCAAAGGTGTGTTTGACACAGATTCAGTGGATGTGAAGTGACCAGCCTGTGGAGACGGGAAATTTATATAGGTACTAACTGTATACATTGTATGTCTGCGAGTGCAGATGTGAGGGTGGAGAGAGGATGATCTATGTGTGGTAGTGTCTGTCTATCTCCACTATATACCTTGTCTTCTATCTGTTACACTAATTTACAGACAGATAAATAAAAGGAGACATTGTCTCCTGTTCTTGAGAGTTACACTCTGAGGAATGGAGAAGGGTAGCAAAGTGTGGGGTGAGCTGGTGTGTGAATAAGGTTGATTACTAATTCTGAGTTCTTTCCTGACAGGATGATAACTCCTTAGAGATCAGGCAAACGAACCACAGTCCAGCCAACAACCACCAACCCATACCATTCTAAACACCAAGCATACCCAAAAGTCCTGCCCATTGTGCCACTACCTCAACATGGCAAGAGCTTGTTTATGAGTTCCAGGACGAGTGGACAATTGCAGACATCTATGTCATCAATCCAGAGAACCAGTCTCCAAGAGCTTTGTTGGGCTCTGATGCAGTTCTTGTGTCCTGACCTGTGAGAGAGTTAGCGGGCACCACAATCTCCAAGAGCCTTGTTGGGTTCCTATGCAGTTCCTGTGTCCTCGCTTGTGAGACAGTCAACTTGTACCAGATCAAATCGAGGCATAGCTACCTATTGACTCAACTACAGCCGAATCACCATGGACTGAGGGGAGCATTGACCTACGAACTGGGATAAGTGATCTCTTATTCATTTTCATGTTCTCTTCCCACAGCACCTTGTGATTTCGATGATGAACTCATGTATACTCAAAGAACATCTGGCTGCTTCAATATCTGGGTTGTGTCATTAATTCCTGAACTCCATTAACTGATCATTCTTGATTATCAATTCATTTATTTTTGTATTTATATCGTACTTATTACATGCAAACATTTTCATGGCTGACTTGGGTGTCCCTGTTTCACCATTCTAACTGTCCAGCTTTTATGTTTGTGTGAGTAATCTGTGTTAACATGGCTATGATAGTAAACTATCATAACCTGGGGGCTACCTTTTTATAGTAGTGGGGGTGTCCAGCTAAGTGTGCCTAAGAATATTATATATTTTGTAGTGCCAAAGCTTGAGTTGCCCTGCTCCTGAAATAAGTTGAGCGTATATTGGCCACGGGATATCCCTTAGACCAATACGAGCCAACGACTCAACATAATTATTTCAGAGTGCTGTTGGTTCTTAAGGAGAAATCCTTAAATCAGGCACGTGACAGGAGTTCCCAGCTCTGTTATCAAGCAGCTCACATGACTGCAAAAGCGCGCCATTTGCTTAATTAGCAACAATCATGGGACAGTGAGCGAAACATATAAAGGTCTTATGCTACTACCGCTTCGTGAACGTCTACTTTTCAGTAAGGCGAAATTTACTTACAAAATATTATCTCAAAAGGCTTCATGTTACTTATGGCCGTTATTTTACTATAATGAAAGGCATAGTAAGCGTCTAAACATATTACACATCCCTAAACCTAGGATAGACCTTTAGAAGTTTGGCGTATTCCGCAGCTCAATTGTGGAACTGTCTGCTACAGCAAATCAAAAGTACTACTAGTCCCTATACATACCATCCGAAACTGTTGGAATATTATCAGAGCACCGATTATATGCTCCCATAGAAAATAAAACATGTAAAAAATAGCGCTCATTTCCATTAGATTTGTTACAACTACTACGTTTTACTGTAGTTAGAAATGTGCACATTCCAGTGCTTGTATTGATTATTTTGATGCTATTGCTAATGTTTAATATTACTTGATGTATGAATGAAATGATGTCAGAACGGAGGGAGACATCGAAGGGCAGAGTGTTGACGGGCCGGCATGCCCAATTCTTAACCCTTTAAAAAATAAAGTTTGTTCGTTCGTTCGTTCGTTCAGTTAGTTTTGCCAGTATACCATACTTTCAAAAAGTTATATTATTTAACAGCCGAAGATATCCTAACTCAACTGGCTAGGATGAGAGCATACCTACTGAATGAACAGAAACGTCTCCAGGCCTTGCTGGAAACTGAAGATGTGAGTACAGTAATCCACATCAGAGTCAGTCTGGGTGATAAACAACTTGCAGCTACAGTCATTCGATATTCAGGCTCACAGTAGACTAAAAATCTGGCAATGCCAGCCTTCAGTCTGGGTAGAGATAAGTTGTTTCAGCTTGGTGTTACATGAGCAAGGAGCGGCAAGTTAAGTATCTAGAACACAAGGCTTTCATTTGGGTGACTCGTATTTGAATCCTTAGTAATATTTTAATTGTTGAGGTGCAGTTTCAACATAGGCCAGTGAAAGTTGGAGAACGACTAAAGATATGGAACAAAAGTTAAATGCGTTTGAAAACAAATGCCTGAGGAAAATGAGAACATGAAATGGGATGAATTCAAGAGAAGTGGAGAAATATCTGGGCAACCATTAGTATCAGTAGTTATAAGAAAGTGAAGATGGCGTGTTTTTGAGAGGAGATGAAACGGGCACTTTTCCAATTCCAATTCCTTTTAAGAAAAAATAAAACTCAACCACGTTCAACCTGCTGCTAGCTAGCTGAAGCTACCAACAGTCTCTGGCTATATTTGTGGTCTTGTTTATTTGTGCCACCTTTGTGGCTAAAGTTGTGGTATTTGCACCGTCTGTGGGCTTAACGTTTCTTTACTCCATGTCAGACTACCATCAATTATAGTTTTAAATTGTTTGAGTAGTTCACTTTTGCCGAAACGTACTGAAAAACAGTTTTTGGGTTTGGATAGACCTGAAATGTGAAAATATTCCGTGTAAGACCATAGTGGTCTTCTAGTTGTCTTCCTGCAATAGGAACGGATTAATCATGTCACGGAGATGTGTGTGAAATATTAGGTGGAGCCTCACAATGATTTTATCCGTCATTTATTACAGTGTGGCCCGATTGTGTTGGTTTGGGTTGGTAGCTAGGATCCGGTGTACGTAAATACCAGATCCCTGGAATACGCATCACGTTACCAGTCTTTACAAGTAGGCACTGAAAGGGAAAGAGAGGGATTAAGAACACGAGGATGCCCAAGAAAAACCCAAAGGCGAACATTGATGAGAGAAAAGTGCTGGACTGAATTACATCCATTATATCGAAGTGGACAGGATAAAATTTAGGGGAGAAATAGACTGCAGGTCCTAGTGATTAGTGATTAGAAAGGATTATCATCACAGCACTCCAGACAGATCCATAGGTGCTCCGATCTACTCGACGCCTCCAGAACGCCTGTTCTGTGTTGGTTAATAGAACATCTTCCCCCCTTAGCGAAACGTTCATTTCTTGCAGCTCCAGGCTGCACCCCCATGTCCATCAGTCTAGACAGGGATACGGAGTCATGCCCTTTGGCGAGCTCCTCGGTACGGTAAGTGCCGCACATGGCATTGATAACATCACTTCTGTCCAGTACTGGGCCAGCCCTAGCAACCGCAGTGTCAGCAAGATAGTCTGTAGGCTCGTTCCCTTGAACTGCAAGCCCTGTTTGACATAATGGCATTCATAATAGGACAGTGAATGAAATGAAATCAGGCGTGTATAAAATCTTAACCCGCACAGTTTGTTTCATCTGCACTAGCTGTGTGGTCCTAAATCCTCAAGGTCGACGGCCCTGCCTTCCATCCTACACCAGGCTTAAAGTGGAACAGTTAGTGAAGACGAACATCAGCAAATAAAATGCGAACCCAAGCGAAAGTATGCAAAGAATACACAAATAGAATGGAATTCATGAGAGGAAGAAATAAGGGCACAGCCTGGCTGTTCGTGCATGGATGGAAATTATGAACTGCTTCCGCTAAAATCTTTTATTTTATATGGTCTTTTATGTAGTTGTGATAGAAATGTAGCTCAAACGTATAAAATCTGACATTATTGCTACGTATGCTTTGCAAATTAAAGATGTGATCGTGTCTGGACAAAGTAGAAGAGGTGTTGACGTAGACAAAGTGGCAGAGGTGTTGACATTAGAAGACCCTTACAGGTTCAGCTTGATGTGAGTACACGAACTTTTGAAGCCGAGTTTGTTTTCGTATATGTTGTTTTGTGGTTGTTTGTAGTTTGTTCGCTCCAACATTGTAGTCCGCACAATCAACACCTCAAGGGTGAGAATCGTACAGGTCTGGGTAAGCCCCGTTTAGCCGTAAAGTTATAGTGGGGCTCCTAACAGGTACAGTGTAACCTCAAGTCGGGCCGAGCCAGAATATACTATGAACAACCCCAATCTTCCAGGTTTGCATTCTGTAGGATTAACATCTCCTGCATGAAAATAGAAACAGCTTTAAAACCCGGAAATTCCCTGCAAGCATATAGGCATATACTGTAGCATAGATACATTGGGGGCACGAAGTCGTCTGGTGTTGGCGGGCAGTCATTTCCTTTGTACAGTTATGAGTTGTGTCATGAGTTAGGTTATTTTCACAGCACTCCGGACACATCCATAGGCGCTCAGATTCCCCTCTCAACATATTCATCAGCGTCGTGCGGTTTATAGTACCAGTCCTGTGTTGGTTAACAAGGCTGTGTGCGTCCGGTGTGATTCTCCTGCTTGGCTGTGCCGATCTTTACTCCCAGTTCGCGTATTCTTAGCAGTGATGTGGACACGTTTCCTAAATCCTCAGAACGTCCTGTCTGTCCCATCTTCATGGGCCGGCCATATTCAATTAATGCAGCACCTGCCAGTCTATCGGCTCTCTTAATTACCAACAACGCCTGCATGCCCTGGGACGAATATGAAAGTACCTGCACACACAGGAGAATTTTGCAACGACTCAAGCCACTGTCTGCGTAACGAGCCTGCCTCGACCCGCTGGATCATGCTCAAAGAATCACGCAGCACACACATGCGTGAATAGTCCTGTGATTCTAGCCACAGGAAAACTTGTGTCACCGCGATCACCTCCATCGTCATGGAGAAGGCACTGCTTGCTTCCTTAACTGTTCTGCCCGAGGAGCGAGCTGTTAATGCCTATGCACTCTTTGGTCCTCATATAACAAACCTATCTGTGAAAATCTCATCTGACTTGTCACTGATAAGCGCGCATACCTCGGCATTGAAAGCAGCTGGATTCTGCTCCCGACAATTCCTATCGAGCGTCACGACACAGGAGAATGTGAGATTTGGCGCTTGGGACGCTGGTATCCACTCCTCCCCTGGATGGATGTCTGTAAGGCTGCAAACCTGCATAATGTCATCCTCTGCCCTACCCAGCCATGATTTGCCTCTTTTAAGCCTATTGCCCCCCTTTGTTTTTTTTTTTTTTTTTTTTGAAGAGCATGTGGTGCAAAGAGTGCTTCAAATCTGAGCTTATTTTGAGGTATGAACGAGCCCTCCAGATCTTGATCCTGTAGTTCATGGTAGGTAAGTCAAGAAGGTACCTCATTGCTACAAAAGGTGTCTCCTGTGCACCCTAGAATAATGCGCATTGCTTCATTTTGCACCTTCTCAGGTCTTTCAATCAGAGTATGGCTGACAATGAGGATGGCAAGAGTATATTCGATGAGATCTTTGTACAATCTTTGTACAGTCCTCGGCATTGATTGACATGTCTGTTCAGTCTCTGTGCTTCCAATCATTTCTGACGCCGCTGTGCATATAAACCCAGTCGAACATATCCTGAAAGAAAGGAATACTTGCTCCAAACAGTCAACAGCATACTCAAAGTTAAATGAAACTTGAGAGAAACTTTAAAAAAAACTTGCAGGAACTGAACATGTCTTGCAAGACTGTCCTCTCCTGGCAGAGCTGCGAATGAGTATGTGACCACACCCAGCGGACCTGACAATTTAAGAGCCCACAGTGGATTAAGCACAGGACCAGAGATCGCCAAAAGAATCACAAGAAACGCATCTTTCTTTGTAAATCATGAAAGCAAGAAGAGGACGCAGATAATCTTCCATGCTATAATTCTAAACTGTCTGGCATCTTGTCTCTTGCTCTCCCTCAGCTTCTCTTCCTGTCACCGTTCCTGCTGTCATGATGTATTCTAGTTTTTCTTCGATGTGGTCGAATAATGCAGATTGTTTCCTGATGAGGCTAATCAGTTCTCTTCGTGAATAATTTCTTTTAAGGCATCTTTCATATGTGTACCAGGTTTTCTTATTATTTAAATGGGGGAGGGGGGCTGTCGATTGTTTTACATAATTTTTAACTTATTGACTGTCTATGATTCACTTCCATACACCATGATTGGTTGAACGGTTAGTAACGCTGGCCTTACATCCAGAACACCCGGATTCAAATCCGTAATTGTGGTGCAGGGGTGAGCTACCCAGGTTTTGGCGCCTATTTTATGACGTATATTTGATCCTTGTTATCCCCGTGTGGGTTCCTGGGTCCCCGTTGTGGGGGAAAACAAGAATAGACCCACTGCCTCCCAATGTCGTAAGAGTAGACTAATATGGGAGCGGGGTGCGGCTGCCTACGAAATCGAAATGCATCTCCTTGAGTGGCAAGGAATTAATTTTTTTTTTTTTTTGCGCACAAATAATCCAGATCTGTACAAGGGGTGTACACGCAACACCCAGATTCTGGAACACAACTCAAGTCAAGAGGTGGACAAACAACCAGAACTTTCCCTATACCGTTTAATACCGTTTCTAGTGTTGTGGTGACACCCCCCCCCCTCCTCCCCCAGTGAATAATGAGAAAGAGCGTGCTTCGTAATTCAGTGGGGCTTGGACGATTTGGCAATACTTGGTACAGTGCAGAGTGTTTAAGTCTGTCTCGGGTGTGGCGAATTTCTGTTGTGAAGAACAATTTGTTTATCCCCGGAAGTTTTCCTCACTTGAATGAACTCTTATCTAAATATGAGAAATTTCTGATAAGAAGAACCATTTCATCGGTCCCAGGTGATTCCTCCTGATCATATCTGCACTGGTTCGAGAGCCGCCCGTCCAGTGAAAAGTAGCAAACTACCGTGTGTAAAACTGCCGAGCCAACGGGCTAACAACTCGTGGTTTCTGCATATTTCCCCCCCCCCCCCCCAAAAAAAAAATACAGAGTAGGGTTAGTAGTTCTACAGTTCTACATTTCCGTCTCATTGCAGTCCATTCCTCCATTTACCCCAGAGTGTCAACTCTGGTACCCATTTCCTAGAGGCTAGGTGAGCCCCGGAAGCCGCACAGTTTCGAACACCGACCGTGGTCTGCAGCGAGTCGCAGCTGGAAATTGAAAGCGAGCCTCTTATCGACTGCCCTAACGCGGCAGTCTTTAGGATTTAGCACCGCAAGAATTAGAATCAAATGGGGACAAATCCAGGAAATCCCGTTCAATGGCGTAAAATAGTTTTATGGGAGCACCTAACACATAACCTGTAGTCAAGTCTAGGCTGGGAATAATAATCATTCCTATACCTTATATATTTTTCCTGCAGAGCTAATGTGGTGTCGTATGCGTCAGTTGTGTTATTAGCTGTCAGTTGGGTCTCAGAACAGATTTCCTGGTTTTGTGGGTCTCGAAACAAATTCCCTGGTTTTGTGGGTCTTGAAACAGATTCCCTGGTTTTGTGGGCCACGAAACAGATTCCTTGGTTTTGTGGACCACGAAACAGATTCCCTGGTTTTGTGGGCCACAAAACAGATTCCTTGGTTTAGTGGGCCGCGAAACAGTTCCCTGTTTTAGTGGGCTGTGAAATAGTTCCCTGGTTTTGTGGGCCACGAAACAGATTCCCTGGTTTAATGGGCCACGAAACAGTTCCCTGGTTTTGTGGGCCACCAAACAGATTTCCTGGTCTTGGTGGGCCACGAAACAGATTCCCTGGTTTACTGGGCCGCGAAATAGTTCCATGGTTTTGTGGGCCACGAAACAGATTCCCTGGTCTTGGTGGGCCACGAAACAGATTCCCTGGTTTTGTGGGCCACCAAACAGATTTCCTGGTCTTGGTGGGCCACGAAACAGATTTCCTGGTCTTGGTGGGCCACGAAACAGATTTCCTGGTCTTGGTGGTCCACGAAACAGATTCGCTGGTCTTGGTGGGCCACAGGTATAAAAAGGTTGAGGAGCACTGCTGTAAAGGGTAAGCAACTCATTTTAAACAGACCCTGGGGTCGTAGTCAGCTTTTACAATCTGAGAATTCAAACCTATTACCTCTGAAAGAGAGCCATGCTGCCCTCTGCACTACCTCAAATCCAATAACCTCTTACTAGATCACCTTTCCTGTTCCACTGTGTGGGTTCCTGCCCCCCCCCCCCCCTTTCCCAGCTTGTGTCACTTGTTTCGCCTGACCAAACCAAGTGACACTAGTCCACAGTTTGTGTCCTCTTCTGCCGTACCCACGCGTGGCCTTCAACAAGTCAGAGTTGCCCGTTTGACGTTCATGTTATGACACGGCACGTTCTCGGCAGTTTTAGGAACTTTTCGGCGTCGTTTGGTCATGCATGTCTCAAAAAAGTAAACTACAACACAGCTTCTCCGGGTTCTGCTTGTTTTGGTAGATTACGTCTCCAGAACTAGCCACCGATCTTCGGACGCGTTCCTGTGGCCAGCTCTGACCCGGCGGGACCTGCAAACTTTAAGTCATGCCGTGCCGAAGAAAGAGAAGCCACTTGTTGAAGGTTACACCACGTGCCAGGACACAGCATCTGGAAGTACGCCATCGCTGTCTGCTTTTCGTGGCTCCAGAGTAAATTCAGTTTCCAGTACTTTTGAGTTCGCGGGAGTAAATATTTCCTTTAGCAAAAGTACTGTCCACAAGAACCCGTGAGGTGTCTATGTTTTGCAGCGACGCGCTCGGCTGTCAACGTGCGAAAATTACATTTTTTGGTCAGTTGGAGTCAAGAGTTCAGAAAGGAAAACAAACATTTTGTTAAACATCTGAAATGACACTCTGATGAATGCGGTGACAGTTTGTCTAGAGGCATTAAAAGGTGCAGTTGGGGAGTAGGAGCGGTTGCCAGGAGGTACTCG